CCCCCTGTTCGTGTCGCCTTCTGTCTCACGAGACTCTCCTCTGGCACCACCGCCTTGGTCACCCCTCCCTGCTTCGTCTCCGAGGCATGGCCTCCCGTGTCCTTGTCTCTGGTCTTCCCCGGTCCCTCCCTCCCCTTCCTCCGGGGCCTGGCCCTACCTGCGTCCCCTGTGTCGAGGGGCGGCAGCGGGCTGCCCCTCACTCCTCCCAGTTTCCTCCGACAGAGGCCCCGCTGCAGACGCTTCACATGGACGTGTGGGGCCCGGCCCGCGTCCGTGGACAGGGTCACGAGTGCTACTTCCTGCTGGTGGTTGACGACTACTCGCGTTACACCACAGTCTTCCCCTTGCGCAGCAAGGGTGATGTCACTGAGGTGTTGATCGACTGGATCCGCGCAGCTCGTCTCCAGCTCAGGCAGAGCTTCGGCTCGGACTTTCCTGTTCTGCGTCTGCACTCTGACAGAGGTGGAGAGTTCTCCTCTGGCCTTCTGCGAGCCTACTGTCGTGCACGAGGCATCCGCCAGACCTTCACGCTTCCGGACTCTCCACAGCAAAATGGGATTGCTGAGCGCCGCATTGGCATGGTCATGGACGTCGCCCGTACGTCCATGATGCATGCGGCTGCCCCCCATTTTCTGTGGCCGTTTGCGGTTCGGTACGCGGCGCATCAGATCAACCTTCACCCCAGGGTCTCCATGCCGGAGACCTCCCCAGCTTTGCTGTGGACGGGGAAGGTTGGCGATGCGTCTGCGTTCCGTGTCTGGGGATCTCGGGCGTTTGTCCGCGACTTGTCTGCGGACAAGCTGTCCCCTCGTGCTGCTCCTTGCGTCTTCCTTGGCTTCCCCCCTGACGCGCCAGGGTGGCAGTTCTACCACCCCACCTCTCGCCGTGTTTTGTCCTCCCAGGACGTCACGTTTGACGAGTCGGTCCCCTACTACCGCCTCTTCCCCTACCGCACTCCGTCCCTCCCCCCGCCACCGCTCTTCCTTGTGCCAGGTCCCCCCCCGGTAGACCCCCTCCCCCCTCAGGGTCCTGCCCCTTCAGGTGTGTCCCAGGTAGACGCAGTCGAGCCTGTCGAGGTTACTGGTGACTCTGGTGCTGCTGAGGGTGCTGAGCCTGGGGGTGCTGACTCTGGGGGTGCTGAGCGTGTGGGTGCTACGCCTGGGGGTGCTGAGCCTGAGGGTGCTACTCCTGGGGGTCCTGAGCCTGGGGGTGCTGAGCCTGGGGGTGCTACTACTGGGGGTGCTGAGCCTGGGGGTGCTGAGCCTGGGGGTGCTACGCCTGGAGGTGCTGAGCCTGGGGGTGCGGAGCCTGAGGGAGCTGGGCCTGCTCGTGTGGCGTCTGGCGGTGCTGAGCCTGGAGGTTCTCCGGGTGCTTCGTCTCGGCGGGAGCCACTCTCTCCACAGGAGCTGCGCGAGTGGTTTGCCCGGCGCTGGAGGCGTGCTGCTGGAGCTGGAGGTTCTTCGGCTGCTGAGGGTGCTGGTGCCGCGGGTCCCGGAGGTGCTCGTACTGGGAGTACTGGAGCTGCTGGGCCTGCGGGTACGACTGGAGCTGGAGCTGCTGAGGGTGTTGGCGCTGAGGCTACTGCTGTCGGTCCTGGAGGCGGTCCTACTGGGGGTGCTACTGGTGCTGCTGGAGGTACTGGAGCTGGAGGTGCTGCTGGCGCTGGTGCTTCCGCTGGGGGTACTGGTGCTGTCCCTGCTGTGTCTGGAGTCGCCGCGCGGCCTCGGCCGTACTTCGTTCCGCTCCTTCAGCAGGTTCTTGGTCTCCCGCCTTCTACTGGTCCTCCTCCTCCCTTAGAGTGTCCACAGCCTGTCCCGTCACAGTTACAGTTACAGCCGGCCTCCCCACTGCCCGCTCCTTCTCCCTACACTGGTCCTACTGGAGGTCTTACTGAGCGTCGTGAGCCTGCGTCTCGCCCTGCGTCGCCTGTCCGTGCTGCTCGCACTAGTGGTCGTGGTTCGCGTCAGCGTCCTCCTCCTGTCCCTGGCACGCACCGGATGTCTCTGCGTCCGTCCACTGCTCCTCTGCGTGCCCCTTTGCCTTCTCCTCCTGAGTCCTCTCTTCCTGCTCTTCCTGACCCGGAGTCGGACTCCCTTCGTGTTGCCAGTCCGACTGTCACGCGTCTCCTTGCTACTGTTGTCACTGACCCTTCCTTTGAGTCCACTGCTGCGTCTGCCCTAGTTGCTGAGGTCGTCGACTTTGCTGCTCGCTGTCGTCTAGACTACGCTGCTAGTCTTGTTGCTGAGTCTGAGTGTGTCTGTCCTCCGTCCGTCGGGGGTGAGTGTGCCCTTGGCATGGACGTCCTTGAGGACAGGCAGGAGGAGTTCCAGTGTCTGGCTGCTGCTTCACCTCATCTCGTGTCCGTACTGCTTACCCCTGAGAGAGACCCGGATGCACTTGACATCCCGACTCCGCGCTCTTACGCGGAGGCGATAGAGGGTCCCTACTCCTCTCAGTGGCAGGCAGCTATGGACGCAGAGATGGCTTCCTGGAAGTCCACAGGCACCTACGTTGACGAGGTTCCCCCGCCTGGGGCGAACATCGTCAGTGGCATGTGGATTTTCAGGGTGAAGCGGCCGCCGGGTTCTCCGCCTGTCTTCAAGGCGCGTTACGTGGCTCGTGGCTTCAGTCAGCGGCAGGGAGTTGACTACTTTCAGACCTTCTCTCCCACCCCGAAGATGACCACTCTTCGGGTACTGCTGCACATAGCTGCTCACCGCGACTACGAGCTGCACTCTCTTGACTTCAGCACTGCTTTCTTGCAGGGCAGCCTGCACGAGGAGATCTGGCTGCGTCGCCCACCTGGCTTCACTGGGTCCTTTCCTCCTGGCACCCAGTGGAGCCTTCGGCGGCCAGTCTACGGTCTCCGCCAGGCACCGCGTGAGTGGCACGACACACTGAGGACTACACTTGCGGCTCTTGGGTTTGCTCCTTCTACTGCCGACCCGTCGCTGTTTCTGCGCACCGACACTTCTTTGCCGCCGTTCTACATCCTCGTGTACGTCGACGACTTGGTCTTCGCCACAGCTGACACTGCTGGACTCGCCCACGTGAAGTCGGAGCTGCAGAAGAGACACACGTGCACAGACCTGGGTGAACTGCGCAGCTACCTTGGCTTGCAGATCACCCGGGACAGAGCACGCCGCACCATTACCCTGACTCAGTCACACATGGTGCAGCAGGTCCTTCAGCGCTTCGGCTTCACGTACTCCTCGCCTCAGGCCACTCCTCTGCCTACTCGCCACTCGCTCTCAGCTCTGCCTTCGGATGAGTCCGTAGAGTCGAGTGGCCCGTACCCAGAGCTTGTTGGCTGCCTCATGTACCTGATGACCTGCACACGACCTGACCTTGCATACCCTCTTAGCATTCTTGCACGCTATGTTGCTCCTGGGAGACACAGACCGGAGCACATGGCTGCAGCGAAGAGGGTGTTGCGCTACTTGTGCAGTACGTCGGGCATGGGGCTTGTGCTTGGAGGGCAGAGTCCAGTGGTCCTCACTGGGCACGCAGACGCTTCTTGGGCTGACGACCAGGCTACGCAGCGGTCGTCACAGGGTTACACCTTCAGCCTTGGTTCCGGCTCTGTTTCGTGGCGGGCTACCCGCTCGTCTTCTGTTCTCGGCTCCAGTTGTGAGGCTGAGATCTACGCCGGGGCCATGGCTGCACAGGAGCTTCGCTGGCTCACCTACCTGCTCACTGACCTCGGAGAGCCGCCTCGTTCTCCTCCAGTGCTGTACGTAGACAACAAGGCCATGCTGGCCTTGTGTCGAGAGCAGAGACTGGAGCACAGAACGAAGCACATTGCTCTCCGCTACTTCCTTGCTCGTGAGCTACAGCAGCGTGGTCAGCTACGGCTTGCGTACGTGCCCTCTGAGGCCAACACTGCTGATATCTTCACCAAGGCACTTCCGCCTTGTGATCATCAGCGCTTCTGTACTCAGCTGGGTCTTGTGCCTACCTTGCCTCACTTGCTCACCCCTTGACCTTGCTTGTACTGTTGCATATATATATACACCTGCTCTTGCTTGTCTAGCCTTATATATATATGCAATCCTGCATGTGAACTGGCCTTGTGGCCTTGAACTTGTGCTCGAAATGTGTGGTGACTTTGTGATCCACCCTGAGCTTGTTTTGCTTTGCTTGACGGGTCTTGTGACCCCTTGTTCTCCCCCACTTTGCCTATGGGGGTGTGTCGGATTTATATGACATAGCTACTGTAGGCTATAGTGGGGTAGCACATATGGGGTACAATTTTCTAGGGTTTGCTTTTGTACCCAACTTTCCTTTAGTCATTTCATTCCTCGTTTCTTCTCAATAATAACAGAGAAATACAAGGTTTTTTATATGATTACAAAGGAATACGAAAAGTTTTACTTTAACTGTTTTTATGCTGTTGCGGTTCGATTCAGTGCCGACTCGGGTAACTGCTCAGTATCGAGTCAGTTATGTGTCCTTGCTATCGCACTGTATTTTTCGTCAAGTCAAAGGTCAGCGACCTTTGACCTTCGCGTAACCTCTAGCGGTTGCTTCTGTTGACTCGTGTTGCTTCACTGTAGTCTGCTTCGTTTCGTGTCGGTAGTTCGATACTTCATAAGCGTTTAGGTTATTGTTTCCAACATCGGGTAACTGCTCAGTATCGAGTCAGTTACTGTATGTGTCCTTGCTGTCGCACTGTACTTTTCGTCAAGTCAAAGGTCAGCGACCTTTGACCTTCGCGAAACCTCCAGCGGTTGCTTCTGTTGACTCGTGTTGCTTCATTGTAGTCTGCTTCGTTTCGTGTCGATAGTTCGATACTTCAGAAGCGTTGAAGTTATTGTTTCTAACAAAAACGAATCTTTCATCCAACGCAGCAATGGCCTGTATTATCTCAACGCAACAACGCTTTACAGTTACCTACTCAAGTAGCTAAGCAGGAGGTTAGTATCACTAACGTCTCCTTACCCCTTCACAAAGTACATCTAGAATGCATCAAGTCATCCCTAACATACCAAACGCGGCACCTACATGACCGTGCCTCGCTCCCAAAGCTCTGGGTCGCCTGGAGTGTGCCAGGTGAGCGATCCAGTGAAGCGCAGCGCCATGAGACTGGCAGAGCTCTTAACACACAAGGTCTTCAGAGGCCATCCTGCTGCTGAGCACGCTTCTGAGTCTCCTCTGCTGCCTCCTGCACCTGCCGCTGCAGCTGCTCTGCTGAGCGCCCTTCTGGGTCTCTCCCGGCTTATTTGGGGCAGCGCAGGGACCGCGACAATCTGGATGGCCTCGATTGTCTTCTTCTGAAACTCCATCTGCGCACATAGCTGCTCCACGCCTGTGAGGGAGAAGGCGGAGGGGAGAGGAGATGCAAGGCGGACAGGAATGAATGGAAGGATACAGAGGACATTGCAAGATGCAAGGCGGACAGGGATGAATGGAAGGATACAGAGGACATTGCAAGATGCAAGGCGGACAGGGATGAATGGAAGGATACAGAGGACATTGCAAGATGCAAGGCGGACAGGGATGAATGGAAGGATACAGAGGACATTGCAAGATGCAAGGCGGACAGGGATGAATGGAAGGATACAGAGGACATTGCAAGATGCAAGGCGAAACGGTGGGAGAATCTCCTCGTATCCGTCTGTGCACTCACACACCTGAATAACTCATACACCTGAATAACTCATACACCTGAATAACTCATACACCTGAATAACTCATACACCTGAATAACTCATACACCTGAATAACTCATACACCTGAATAACCCATACACCTGAATAACTCGCATCTGAAAACGTGGGCCCACTCACTCTCAAGGTTGAGGCACATTGTTGACTCGCTAGCCCAATCAGATTCCGATCCGCCCTCCTCCTCCCCTGCGTCCCCTCCCCGGTCGCCTTCCTCCGCCTCGCCCCCATGGCTGCCACCCCAACCGTCGCTCACACTGCTAGGCCCGCAGCTGGCTGCGTCGCTGACGTCATCCAGGACCACTCGTCGGTCCCCTTCTCTTTCCGCCTCCCCCGGCCTCTCCGCCGCTTTCTCCGCCGCCTCCTCCTGACGCGACGTCGCCAACGGAGGAGCGCGACTCGCGATGCCACCCCAAGCAGCCACTAAACCGGCGCCACGTGGCATGTTACAGGTCGGGATCGAGGCGCCCCTGTTCCTGGGGAACACTCTTTCCGCCTGCGCCTCCGTCCCCATGGCTGTTCGCCCTTCTGCCCGCCCGCAGAAGCTCGCGCTGCGGAACCCCATTGGCGCGGGCCGTGCGGCGTCTGCGGCGGCGCGCTTCGCGGCAAAGTCAGACTCGGAGCTCCGCCGAGCGGTTACAGTCGCGGGTTTCGTGACGATCGCGGCGGCAGTAGTATCGCCGAGGCTGGACGTTAAAGGCTCTCCGCATTCCACGCTGCCTGAACTCGACACGCTGCGGCTGCTGTTACCAGCGATCACAAGGCGGTTCGACTCCGGATAATCGTAGTCTCCCCCAAAGCCGCGCTCCTCCGCTGCGAATCCCCCAGCGGCGGAGTCGGCGGCGATCGGCGGGCGTGGGGAGGAGGGCGGGAGCGAGGAGAGGGATGAGCGCGGCTTAGCGCCACGGGCGGGATGGCTGGAGGGGGACGAGGCGTTGGCGGACGAGGCGTTGGGGGAGGTCACGAATCCCAAGGGCGTGTCGGGTGACGCGCAGCGGCCGGTCTGCGCGGCGGCGCGAACAACCTCTGGGCGTTGAACGGGGAGGATGAACCACTGCGCTTGCTGCGCCGCCATCGCCGGCGCTGGAGCCGCGGCACTGTCCGTTGATCGCGGGCTCTCCTCATCGCACGGGTATGCCGCATTAGGCGGCGGCGTGTGATCAGGAGCCGTGGCTGGTCGTGCGGGCCTGCCGAAGGTGGTCCCCGGCGAGCGGCGCGGGCTGTTGGAAAGCGCGGAGAAGTCGAAGGGGCATGGGGAGCGCGGACGGGGTAGCGACGGTCGCGGGGATCTCGCGGGGGGGCGGGAGGCGGACGGCGGTTTGGCGGTGGAGTGATGGGAGAAGAGTGGGAGGACGGGGAACGACGCTGGCGAGGAGCAGAACGACGCGTCGTCGCCTGGATTGCTGGATACGTCAGACGGAATGCTAAGCTGCGGCGCGTTGAACGGCTTCCTTGCGTCCAGGGCGCGAATGGTGCATTGCTGCTGCTGTGGCGGCAGCGGATCGCGCTGGCCCTTGTCGCAACCGCGAATTGGCGAGGGTTGTTGAGGCCGCGGCTTGCTTGCGATGTCTACGGCGAGCTTCGCGCCGAATGCGATCGGGAATGATGGTCGATCCCGTGACGGGGCCTGTGGGAAAACGACTCCTGGCCCCATTGGTATTGCTCTGCCTGAGATCGCTCTCTTGTGACTACGCTAATGTTACACTTGTGGCGACTGAAGCTCTAACGCAAACGCACGGGACAGGCAGAGGTGTGACGGCGCGATCAAAAGCTGGTTGTACACAGCCTGTCCTCTACATGAGTGGGACGCTGCTGTCCTGCGGAAGTACAGTAGACCGAGACAGAAAAGAGTACGGCTTCAGTGTCCGAAGGCCAGTCTGGAGCAAGAGTGAGATACCGTAATCTGGCAGGAAAAGCCGTCTACCTCAAGCCTTGGGACAGATCTAAAGAAAGGTGGTGGTTTTGGGTCGAGAAGAGCAGCAGAGAGCAGCAAGCAAGGAATGCTGCTGTCGCAAACCGAGGAAGCAAGCAGTCGGGTTAGGGCGTGTCCAGCGCGTACATTTACAGTTCATAAACCCATTCAGTTACCACATTTCCTATTGTAACACTGCATTTTACAAAAAGGTTGGACACGATCAGCTTCCGTTCACAAGACGGCACGCCCGCTGCGCGTACGACGAATCGTCTAACACACGTTACTGGAATCGGTGTGCGCGCGAACAAGGGTACAGCATTGCGTCCTGCCCGCTACAGTAATTTTCGTTCAAGCGTGGAATTTTCGCTTGTGCGTGAATTTCTGTGCGATGATAGACGAGGCAACCAGTTACCTCGTTTTCCACGAACTGTAGAAATTTGTGTGCAGAGGGTTGTGTCCGCGCGCTGGAAGGCCCAATCCTTCGGACTCGACTCACCTTATATTCGTTTTTTGGTACAGTGAGATTTTTGGAGCCGGGAAACGTGTGAAGGTACTAATATTCCCAAAATGTACGCGCTGGACACGCCCTTAGGGGCAGGGCAGGCAGGGGCTGGGGAAGGGAGGGATAGCAGATGTTCCTTGCGACTCTTCGTGTGTTTCTGCTGCTCTTGTCTTTGTGGGTGGATGAATGAGGCAGGCAGCAGCCAAGTGTGGGATGGGAATTTGGGAAACGAATATGGACGCCATGGATTGGATCACTGGATGGATGGAACTGTCGCACGCAGCGCAGCAACTCGTGGTGCTGTTGGTACTGGTGCTGCAGCAGGTGGATAGAAATTGGGAGAGGTGCACCAGTTTTCATCATGACACGAATGTTTTTGGCAGCCCTCGTTTCCTTCCAGAGACACTCTCCATTCTGGGTTGGCGAGGCGAGGTGCCGGGTGGTAATCCGGGTAGATGCAGGCTGTTCTTTCAGTGTCCTGTTATATTTTGTCTGGGCCATAGGCCGCACTGTTATATTCCAACTCGAGCCACAAAGCACGCGTGGTTCTTCTCATTCCCAACCCCTTCTATTCCTAAATCCTCTTGCTCTTAGAATCAGGACCAAGCGTCGACTGATTTTCACTCACACCGAAAGTTAGACGAATATAGTGAATTAGGCTTTTAGCTTGCTATTTCGTCTGAATAGTTCATGGTGCGGAAGGTGAAATCGGTGTTCGATAAGACACGTGGAAGCCGCTGGAGTTTCGGGTTTCGAGTTGTTGGTCAGAGAACTCGTCCGCAGCTAGGTTACGAGCGTTCACACCTGGGTTCAGCGTAAAATATCAAAACTCCCGGACAGAAAACCCTCATATAAAGAAAACCCGGATAAAACACCCCTGACAATTGACGGCTGCCTCTCTCCCCTCCTCAAGGCTGCTTGTCATGTCAGTGTTCGCATATTTGATCATCCAAGCAAACCACTAGTGTGTCGTTTTCGGTTAGCATTTGTCTCTAGGACCTGCTTCGGAAGTCACTTGCAGAGCGGCCAACATCAAATGGCGTTGTAGACCGCGTCGCACGCGTGCTACATGTGGCTATTCTCCCTTGGATGAAATGCTAATGATAACAAACTGGGAGACAGAAACTGGCAACCACAAGTTGGTCCTAAGCTGAAGATATCTTAGAGGGGTGAAGCGCGTGGCTTGCATTGCATTGGTCCACATGCCAAAGGGGAATGGACAGTTTGCCTGTGGCTTACCCCATTCTTCACCGTACTGTGCTGAGAAATATATTGCACTGCCTGCGTCAGCAGGCAGTGCAATGAGTCAGCGGGCAAGGAAAAAAATAAAACCCACTCGGAAGGCATGGCATTCGGGAGGCATCAACCCTAACATTTTAGGGTTGAGGCTCCCGAATGGCATGGAGTCCGAATGGGTTTTAGTTTTTTTATGCCCGCGGTCAGCATGCTGACTCACTCGGTACCGTCGTCTAGCGAAATGGTAGCGTTACCGAGTGCTACCGACGCTACCAAGTGCAATATATTGTACATGAGATCCATTTGATTTCATGGATCTCATACACATGATGCTCGATTGACCCTCTCATAGTTGCCTTACTCTTTCGGCGTTTAAGCGATTCTTGCATTTCGCAAATGTTTCGTCAATTCGCACCAAGCAAAAAAGGGCATATAAAAAACCCATATTGACATTTTGACGTCGGCCTCTTCTTTACCATTGGCTTATCATCACTGCATTGACAGTTGATTTCGGTCGCTTCGTTACCATTGGTTCAACATCGACTGCAACTTGCTCGGGGGGCTTGTAAACTGGGTGCAACTTTACGCCACCAATTGTTCGTGGGAAGGGAACTGACATAGAAAAATAAAATTCGTGCGCTACAGTTGAGCATCTTGTGTATACGTATCACAACTCGATTTCCAAATCCCGCTTATAGAACTGAAGTGCACCGCGCTTTTACTTTCAGTTTCAACAGCTTGCTATACAAGTAATCTCTAACATTAGGTGCATACAAAGGTAAAACCTGATTGCTACAATTTTCTTCCATAAGAATTGTTATGAATTGCGCTGTGTAATCGCATGCCCTTAATCCTTAGCCTCGCGAAAAATCAGTTGATTTTTAAACATGTGTGATCACCACATCTTGTAGTTGGGTGTTGGGTGCGCATCTTACCCTTTCCCTTACTCATCAGCTTCTGCCTTGCCAACTTGAAATGCATTGGTTCCTTACTTGGAAGGTTGGCACATACGGGTTGGGTCCACCCATTGGGACCCCTTGCTGCTCCAGCAGTTGCAACGCCGAGTCAACATCCGCTTGTGAGACAGATGGGGAGCGGGACAGAAGGCGGAAGGAGATCTGCGGGGGAACACGGGCCGATGAGTGTTGAGGAGGTAAATGAAAAGAAGAGTTGAGATACCTGCAGTGTCATGCGAGGAACTGGATTGTCGAAATCAGAACAAAAATGTTGTTAGCAGAGGCGACAGGTAAAGAGCATTTCGATCTTAATTTGAGGGCCAAGGCATAAGCATGGCTAGCTTGAAGGTTGCCTGCATACCTCGCTTGTTCTCCCCGAGCCAATGTTGGCGGGCGGCACGAAGCATGAGTAGATGAGTGCCATGCTGTACGAGTCTGACATCGCCTGGTTGCCCCACAGCCCCGTCACCCACATGTTCTCCACCACGCCCCGCCCGTTGCCGTACGTCACCTGCATCTTGCCCACCTGCCATGGTCGTGTGGTGTGGGTGGGTGGTTTGGAATTGGAGAAGCAGCTTTTTGAGTGTGGAAAGTGTGCCGCCTCAACAGCCGATGAATGTACATACGCGGGGTGACAGTAACGAAGGACGCGCAATGCAGTGCAAGCAGCGAGCCAAGACCGGGCACGTCACATCTCGTGCAGGCAGGCAGGCTCCAGAGGGGCGCTGCACTGTTCAGCGCATGCGAGTGGCGGTTGGGAGCGAAGCTGTACCTGCGAGGCTTCCACTTGTGTGACGGCGCCAATGGCGGAGTAGGAGAAGCGCATGGCGAGCGGGTTGGAGAACATGAGCCCCGCCATTGGCCGCATTGATGCCGTCGCTGCGCCCATGCGCCCCGTCGCGCGCCCAAACCCGCTTACGTTGCGCGTGAGCCCCACAATGTCGTTCAGGTTCAGCAGCAGCTGGGGGGAGGGAGGGCAGGAGGAGGGGGAAAGAAGGGGAAGATAATAATTTTATTTGGTGAATGGTGGCCAGTGCTCGAGGACAATGCAAGACGACTGTGACTTCCGCAGCCCAACACCCCCGTGCTTCGTCTCCAGGCGAGCTCACCGTCTGCTTGCCGCGCAGGTTGCCGAGCTTGTTCTCCACCTTGTTCACGCGCCGCGTGGCGATCTGCGCCGACTTCATGATGCTAACGCGCCCCTTGTTGATGGCAATCGACTCGCTCTGCAGCTGCTTGACGGCGCTCACGAGCTTCTGCTTCGTCTGCCAGATGAAGAACACGCGGTCCATCTGGCTCAGCTGCGCGTTCAGCTGCTGGATCCGCGCCAGCAGGTTGTACGCGCGCTCCGCGCGCGCGGAAACCTGCGCCATGGAATTCGCGATGTCGCTCAGCGCGACCTTGACGTCCGCCTCGACGTCGTTCGGGAGCTCCGCCCACGAGAGCGTCTGCTGCGCGTTGCTCACTTGCAGCGTGGCGGAGCTGCCCTGCGCGGGGGGGCGCGCGATGGCGGCGCAGACTGAGCGCAGGTGGTCGCGCACGGCGAGCGCGGACTTGGAGAGGCCCTGGATCTGCGACTGGCGCGCGGGCGTCGTCATGCGGATGCCGCGCTTTACCACACTGGGGAAAACGAGATGGGGGAGAGAGGGGGACAGAAAGGTAGGGGGGGACGAGAGAAGAAAGAGGATGGAAAGCAATGGCTATAGCGCACGAGAGACGGCGGCTTGCGGAGCAGCGACGCAGCACGATCAAAGAGGAGGGCAGAAGCGAGTGGGGGGGTGCGAGTTGGCACCTGAATCTGTTGAGGCTGTGGTTGATGCCGCGGAAGACGAAGTTGTACGTGACGCACGACATGCCCAGCTCGCCGCTCACCTCCAGCTTCGACTCCGCCGTCGACCCGATCTCGTACCACTTGCCCTGCCACGAAACCACGCGCACTCAATATGACTACAGGCCCGAGGACTGAAATGGTAGGGACGGCGTGCGTGCTTACCGACAACTTCCGTCTGAACATAAGTGGCAAACATGGAACAAGGCAGTGCCACGAAGATGTCCGGGCGGTGGGAGCTAGCTTTTGATAGAACAGACTTGATTTTCAGCCCCACGACATTGGGGACGCAGCATTTTCTACGGAACAGACCTGCGGGATGGTAGTCGCAATATAATTGAGTACCTGCCAACGTGCGGTATGGAGATTCACGGGCGATTGGTACAAGAGCTAAATGCTTATGGGCTGAGTGTGACTGCACCGCTGACTGGGCAAACGCAGCAACTATGCCAGCGTTTCGCGTGTGCCTGCCACGAGGCGCGCTTGCGGGTACCTGGAAGAACTCCGCCATGAAGGTGTTGCTCGTCTGCACGTCGGGGCACGCGCCCACCGTCTCCTTCATCAGCTCCTGGCAGAAGTACGTGTCTGCCGCTCGCGCGCTCTGCCACGCCGCGCACCACGCCGCGATGTACGCCAGCACAATAGCCAGGCGGCCGCCGCGGCCTACTCGATAAGTAAATTGCATGGTGGAAGCCAGGAGAGGTGACGATCACGCGTGGCTAGGCGGGACAGGATATCGTTGCTGACACGTTCTGATGCAGGTCGGCACGAAGGCTTCAGTTCACTGAATGTGTCGGGTAATAATTTGAAAAGGGTCTAACTACGCCAGTTTAATAATAGACAGAGGAAATATCGGAGGTAAAAGTAAATTCACGCCTGGAAACAGGCAATACGCTATCGTTATGATCTGTCTCGCCAATCTATCTGCGTAAACCACCTCAGTGTTTCTACGCGATTGAACTCAGAGGTGCAAAGACGTCTGATCGACGAATGCGGACTTCTGAATCTGAATGCTTTGTCGGGCTAGGAGAGTCGACGTGATGGAAAGGAGATCAGCAAGGCACAAGTTCATTGATTTTAGGGAGGTCATTCCCCAAGTGCCGGTGTGGAGGCGACATTGGCGGGGAAGGAAACTGTGAGTGCGCCAAATTTCAATTGACAAGGACAACATTGCAATTTCGAAAAGGTGATGAGTGCGACGCGATTGTTACATCCGCGCCTTGAAAACGCGCGTCGTGGATATTCGCGTCGCCAAGCGTGAGTGATCGTTTGAAATCACCTTGACGCGAACATGGCAGTAGACGAAAACGGCGAGCGTGTAACTATTTTCCGCTAAGTAAAACAACCGCCCCCTCAAATTGTCTTTCTTTCTGGAAAAAGTGAGTACATAAATAATCGACAATGTACGGTAATCCATTAAATCACAAAGCCACAAGAAGTGGATACATCAGGCAGTACAGAATCACATCCTATCAATATTGGAGCTAGTCGTTCTAATGCAGACTTCCGTGCTGGTTAGTTATATCACAACCCTCAAAACTATCCATGCCTGTCAGTTCCCCAACAATCTATTGCATGCCGCTTCGTCTTGATTTGCGTTGATGAAGATGTTCGCTCCCCCTAGTACAATGCCTTGTGTTTCCAGTTGAGAAAGCTTGGCATCAATCTCAGATTGGCTAACTGATGTTGTGCGTGCCAGTATGGACACTGAGAACTGGGCAAAGAGCACCAAACGCAAGAACCTTGGCTTAGAAACATACAACAGCAGCTGTTTCCCCATATCGCTGAAAGGGCTGAAACACATAGGGTTATGAAAGTAATCCCATATGCTCACCTGACCGGCATCGCATGACACAATGGTGGTCATGTTGAACTCGGAATCTGCATCCCCTTCAACTTTGTTGATCAGGTAATTGTTACTCCGAGCGAATCCAAAGAGGCTCACTGCAAACTTCCCAGGCTGACCAAGAGCAGCAAGGCGAGACACACAAGAGCTTATATTGAAGGGCGTGACAGTGGCATGTGGGCTATCCTAGATTAATGATAATAGCACGGCTGCTTGACTCCCTTCCCCTCATCTCACCTGCTTCCTGTCTTGCACGGCTTGCATGCGCAGCTGGGTCTGGGAGTTCCAGGGAAAGGGCGATGGGAACATGGTGAGGGAGGGCACCAGCACCGACGCTGCCAGCACGCGAATCACAGTTGTCGCCAGGCCCACCTTCCCTCTAACCCCCAGCTCCCACGACGCACGTGCCAGGAAACCAGACAGCCGGGATGTGAACCGGGTGACGGCGCTGCTGTTGGCAGCGGGCAGCATGAGCTGCATCTGCAGCACCGCCAGGCTTCCCCTCATCCCTGCGCGCCGAGCCCTCCCAGCAGCACCAATGATGCGGTTGGCTGCGTCTGCGAGCCCTTGCTTGGTGACGTCCAGATCCGGGTCCTGCGGGTCGTTGAACGTGCTGGCGCGGTTGTTGTGCTGCTGCAGCGCACTCAGCTGACTGTAGATCGCCAGGGCCTGCTGTGACAGACTGGTGCTAGACGCAGCTAGTATGCCCGCAGCTTCAGCAGCCAGCGCAGTTCCGTTGGCGTGCTGGGAGAACGGGCTTGTGCTGTTGCTGCTACTCGTGCTGTTGTCGATATTGGGCGTACTACCGCTGCTATCTGCCCCGCTACCGTTTCCGTCATCCCCACCCGTCGTCTGAGGCCCAGGCACGAACATTGCCTGCAGGGAGGCGTGCGCTCTGGCGCTGTAAACGGCCGCCTCGCACACACGGCGCAGGTTGCGCGAGATGCGCCCTGCTGCCGCGGAAATGCGCCACACCTGAGCGGAGGAAGGGAGGTGGGGAGGGGGGATGGGTGCGTGGAACAGTGGCGAAGGGCATGGCTGACGAGAGTGCATTTTCGGCGGACAACTAAGCATGATCGGGAGAGCACGCAGTGCACGAACGCGTTGTGCTGGGCGGGTGGCAGAGTGGCGCACCTGATCGGCTCGGAACGGACTGACTGTGCGAAGGCCACGGCTGAGAAACCTGGTCGAGGCAAGGGGGGCGCAAAGGACCAGGAGGGAAGTGGCATTTGGGAGGGATAGCGATGATCAAAGGGATAGTCTTCCTACGAAAATTCACGTTCCTACCTCCCATGAGACCTGGTGTCAATAAGGGGATGCGCGGGTTCGAGGCTTACCCAGCGACGTTGCTGCCGTCGGTGGCGGCGGCGAGCGCGGAGTACTTGGCGGCGTTGCACGACAGGCCGCTCGCCGTTCTGAATTTGTGCAGCGCGCTGCTTCCCACCTCGAACCACGCGCCCTACGATCACAGAGAGTGACACGCAATATTGGACTAAATTATTGGAGAACGAGAGTGAATGGCTGGCGGGAATGACTGGGAACGGAAAGAACCACGAGCTTGCTCACACTGAGCAAACAACACTCGCATGCCATGGCTACGTCCCACCCCATAACGCCTACCGTGAATTTTTCCAAGTCCAACGAGTCGACTGTCGAAATTTTCGGGCAGCGATTAGGAAATTGCGCTATGAAGGTGTCACAGAAAGCGGCGTGAGTTGTTGTTGACAACGCGATGAGGATGACTGAGGCCAGTATGTAGACTACACATTTTCGTCTTATTGGTGCCATGTGAATTAGTCCAGGTAATCGGCCACGGAGACTAAAAGGCCTTGTCTAATGTTTAGGGTCCTCTCCGAATTCTAATGTCTAATACAGAATTCGGGGCGCGAAAGGGTCCTTGTCTTCAAATATGCTTCCCTGACTGAGCAGGTTTTTCTCAGAAAACGAATGAGCGCTTCTGTGGAGCAAGAACCAAACACGTGCCTTGCCTTGACTAATGTGAGAATGAGTTCAAGTGGTGAGTCGATGCGCAAAATCTAAAAATGCAGCGGGAAATGCCAATCCCTGAAGCGACACGGCGATGGCTCTGTGGGTCAGCGACGCGAAAGGGGGGAGACTTCGAACACAGTACTCGACATTGACATCAGCAACTACAAATTTAATTGGTACACCTAGTGTAGAATATATGATTGTAAAACACAGGTGAAATCCGCGCCACAGCAGCAAAATCCGTGCCACCGCAGCGACATCCGCGCCACATTAGCGAAATCCGCGCCAAAGCAGCGAAATCCGCGCCACAGCAGTGAAATCCACGCCACAGCAGTGAAATCTGCGCCACGGCAGCGAGATCCGCGCCAAAGCAGCGAAAGCCGCGCCATAGCAGCGGAATCCGCGCCATAGCAGTGAAAACCGCGCCTTAGCAACGAAATCCTCGCCATAGCATCGAAATCCGCGAAATAGCAGCGAAACCCCGTGCCATAGCAGCGAAATCCGCGCCATAGCAGCAAAGTCCGCGCCATAGCATCGACAATAGAGTAAACGAACAAGCCTTGGCCAGAGCTTGGAGCCATGGCGGACGACCCGGACCCCGGGGATCCCGGGGCCTGGGTGGGGGACGGTCTGGACAGTGACATGACGAGGGCCTTCGGGGGCGAAGGGGGGGCAAGCACAGTAGCAGCTGGTGGGTCGCTCCACCTATTGGCTGGTCACAAAAGACGGGGGGGGGGGGGGGGGGGGGAGGGGGCTGAGTCTGCGTTCCAGAGCCCACGCATCCGTCGCCTCCACCACAAAGACCTTTTATGCCTCTTTGGCAAACCATCCAAGAGACAGTGTTATGAAACGGGCCGTCCGATTTCAGCAATGACAAGTGGGCAATCCCTTGAAGACCCTCCCAACACCCGGGCTGACCAGAGCGACGACCCCGAACCTGCGGTCGTCAACGAAGAGGGGGGGGGGAGCGATAAGTGACAAGGGTGCGGTCGTCGAGGTGGCGGTAACTCCAAGGGAGGCATTGGAGGTAGCGAGGGCAGCTTGGGAAGAGCACCGTAGGCGCTTGCAACAACAGCATGACACCCGCAGAAGCGGCCTATCTGAGAGGGTAACGCTGCACAGTGCCGGCTCGGTCGTGCGACATCTTGCACGGCGGCAGGAGCGGAGGCGCCGGAGGACGGCGGGGAAAGACAGGCAGCAGGAGCCGCTAGTGGGGGGGGCGGCAGGACCTGCAGGTGGGCGGGCTGCAGGGGGCCCGGACGAGGGTCCGGCAGCCGCCGGTGGGGACGGGGCAGCAGCAGCTGCGGAGCGGAGGGCAGCAGGAGCTGCAGAGCAGAGGGCAGCAGCAGCTGCGGAGCGGAGGACAGCAGATGCTGCAGAGCGGAGGGCAGCAGCAGCTGCAGAGCGGAGGGCAGCAGCAGCTGCAGAGCGGAGGGCAGCAGCAGCTGCGGATCGGAGGGCAGCAGCAGCTGCAGAGCGGAGGGCAGCAGCAGCTGCAGAGCGGAGGGAAGCCGGAGCTGCAGAGCGGAGGGAAGCAGGAGATGCGGAGCGGAGGGCAGCAGCAGCTGCGGAGCGGAATGCGGCAGCTGCTGCAGAGCGGAGGGCAGCAGGCGTGGGAGGCTGGGGGGAAGCAGAAGATGAAGGCTGGGGCCCAGCAGGGGCTGCAGGCTGGGGGGCAGCAGGAGCTGGCTGGAGGGCAGCAGGAGCGGGCCGGAGGCCAGCAGGCGTTGGAGGCGGAGATGGAGGTGGAGCAGGGGGGCGGGGAGCAGCAGGAGCTGCAGGCTGTGGGGCAGCAGAAGCTGCAAGCTGGGGCCCAGCAGGGGCTGCAGGCTGGGGGGCAGCAGGTGCTGGCCGGAGGCCAGCAGGCTTTGGAGGCGGAGATGGAGGTGGAGCAGGGGGGCGGGGAGCAGCAGGAGCTGCAGGCTGGGGGGCAGCAGAAGCTGCAGGCTGGGGGGCAGCTGGAGCTGCAGGCTGGAGCCCAGCAGGGGCTGCAGGCTGGGGGGCATTAGGACCTGGCCGGAGGCCAGCAGGCGTTGGAGGTGGAGATGGAGGTGGAGCAGGGGGGCGGGGAGCAGCAGGAGCCGCAGGCTGAGGGGCAGCAGAAGCTGCAAGCTGGCGGGCGGCAGGAGCTGCAGACGGGGGGGCAGCAGGCGTTGGAGGCTGGGGGGCAGGAGAAGCTGAAGGCTGGGGCCCAGCAGGGGCTGCAGGCTGGGGGGCAGCAGGAGCTGGCTGGAGGGCAGCAGGAGCTGGCCGGAGGTCAGCAGGCGTTGGAGGCGGAGATGGAGGTGGAGCAGGGGGGCAGGGAGAAGCAGGAGCTGCAGGCTGGGGGGCAGCAGAAGCTGCAAGCTGGGGGGCAGCAGGAGCCGCAGGCTGGGGGGCAGCAGGAGCCGCAGGAGATAGAGATGGAGATGGAGGAGCCACAAGAGGAGGCGCGAGGGGAGCTGCCGGTAGGCGTGCAGGAGGGGAGTCAAACAGGGAATCAGCCCCAGTTGCAGGCACGGCGGCAGCAAGGGTGTCATGAGGGGAACCAGCCCTTGCCTGGAAGCGTACAACAGGGGTTGCCGATGAGTGAGTCGCAGGAGTTGCAGGCGCAGGATCAGCAGGGGGTCAATAGCCCGGGCGGCACAGGCCAAGCGGAAAGGCCGCGGGCACGGCGCCGAAGGGGGCGACGACAGGGAGGGAAGAGGGCAGGGGGCCAGCCGGGGGTGACCGGAGCAGCTCAGGGAGAGCAGCAGCCAGGGGGGCAGCCGGGGGTGACCAGAGCAGCTCAGGGAGAGCAGCAGCCAGGGGGGCAGCCGGGGGTGACTGGAGCACCCCAGGGAGCGGAGCAACCAGGGGGGAAGCCGGGGGTGACTGGAGCACCCCAGGGAGCGCAGCAGCCAGGGGGGCAGCCGGGGGTGACCCAAGCATCCCAGGGAACGCAGCAGCCAGGGGGGCAGCCGGGGGTGACCGGAGCACCCCAGGGAACGCAGCAGCCAGGGGGGCAGCCGGGAGTGACCGGAGCACCTCAGGGAGAGCAGCAGCCAGGGGGGCAGCCGGGGGTGACCGGAACACCCCAGGGAGCGCAGCAGCCAGGGGGGCAGCCAGGGGTGACCGGAACACCCCAGGGAGTGCAACAGCCAGGGGGGCAGTCGATGGCCAACCAGGAGCAGCAGTTGGAGGAGTGGAGCCGACTTTTGGAGTTAGATACCCCCATGGCGACTGCAAAGGAGTCAAAGGTGGACGGAGAACCTCCCAGGCCGCCTTTCCCATGTCCCCGTTGTTCGTGTGACACGTGTTTTCACATGTTCGCTACTCGAGGGGCTGCTGCGAACCACATGAGGGTATGCCGGGCCGTTGAGGCGGAGAGGCACGCGTAGGCACTTGGCTCGATCCCGTCTCTAGTGGAGACCGACATGCAGGAGCGACCGACTCCGCGGGAATTTGGGGACAAGGCGTGGGCCGGGGTTACGTCATGGGAGTGGGAAGCATTTTTCAGTGTGGAGGCGATTGGAGGGAGGACAGTGCACCGGATCCCACAACGGGCCCGGTCGGGGTCTTAGACGCGCTTTGTTGCGTCTTAAAGCGTTTGAAGAGCCGACTGGGAGATGAAGCCGCTACCCTCCTACTCTTGGCGTTTCCGCGCCTCATCCTAGCCGTGCCTCCCAAGCCAGGCATAGGTCAGAAGGCGCTGATCACAGAGCGGCTGGGGGCGTTCTAGGAGGGGAGGTGGCGGGAGATGTTCGACTCTGCCATGGTGGCGGCGCGGCCAGCAGTTCGCCCACTTGCCTACACTTGCTCTGACCAGGACCCAGATGCCATCCGCCTGTCACGGTGCCGATCTCGGTGTAAAGTGGGAGAGTGGAGCCGTGGATTGGCTTGCCTTAGAGCAGGAGAGTTGGCTCGACCGTCTGAGGCCATGGTGCAGTCGCTGGGAGAGAAGCACCCTGCTAGCACTGGCGAGGTACCACAGAGGGTCCGTGATTTCACCGTCAACGCTCCTCAGCGGCCTCCACTCACGACTGACATCCTGGCCAGAGCTATCCATACAGCCGCTCACGCTTCAGCAGCAGGGCCATCGGGGTGGGTCACAGAGCATATGCGCGACACCTTCCTCACTGAACCTTCCTGCCTTACCCACCTGTTGGAAGTGTTCAACCAATGGGTGGCGGGACAGGTCCCCGAGCGGGCTCGGCCCTGGCTCGCCGCATCCAACCTTGTTGGGCTTTCCAAGCCTAACGGCGACGTCCGGCCAGTGGCGATTGGGGAGGTGCTTCCGTCTATCCTCGCTCGAGCTCTCTGCATCTCGCTCTGCCCTGCGATGGCTTCCTACTTTCTGCCGTGCAACCAGCTGGGAGCGGGCACCGGGGCCGGGGTGGAGATTCTTACTTATTCTTTCTTGACAGCACTGGCCACTCACCCCGACTGGTGTGCGCTGCAGATAGACGTCATGAACGCCTTCAATTCAATTCACCGCCATGCGATGTTTGAGGGGCTGTGGGAGTCGCCTTTCTCAGGGTTGATCCCATTCTTGCGTGTTTTCTACGGGACACCTAGCGACCTGTACCTCCGAGCGGGCCCTTTCGTACAGAGCCTTGAGTCGACACGAGGATCGCGGCAGGGGGACCCGCTCGGACCTTTTCTTTTCGCGTTCACGCAGCATCAGGTGATGGAGTTGGTGACTAGAGAGTTCAGGGACCTACTTTTCCTGAGTTATGCAGACGATACCTATATCCTGGGACCGGCGGCTAGGATTCTAGAGGCTTTTGGGGTGCTGCGGGAGCGTTTGGAGTGGGAGGGGCTGGAGGTGCAGGCGCACAAGTGTCGGTTTTGGGAGCGTGAAGGCGGGGATGTGGAGCGGGCACTTCCATTAGGGATGCAGCGGGTGGAGGAGGGTCTCACTGTGGTGGGCGTGCCTATTGGGGAGGAGGATTGGGAGGTGGTCCGGTTACGAGAGCGGCTTTGACAGTTGCAGGCGCCATTGTCATGGCTCCCCCTGCTCGACCACCCCCAGATGGCTTCACATCTCCTCACCATTGCAGTTTCAGTACGGCCGATGTACCTGGCCCGGACTATGCCACCGCGTCCGGAGGTGGTGGACGCCTTTAGGGATTGGGATAGCTGTCTGGAGGATTGCTTTGAGCAGCTCTTGACACCAGACACTTGGGAGCAAGACCCCGACCGGTCTAGGCGCACACGCATGCAACTGCATCTCCCTGTGCGACTCGGAGGGTTTCGGATCCGGGCGGCTGCCTCTTTGAGTCCGCTGTCCTATGTTTGTGGGTGGGCGCAGGCCGCGCGTGATATTGCACAGTTGGGGTTGGCGGGCGAGGAGGCGATGTTTGCAAAGTACCTCACCACTTCGGCAGGGGCGGAGTTTCTTGACCCGTGAGCAGCTGTTTGCGACTACACGCCAGGAGATGCCGGGCTTACCTCAGTGTGTAGCGGCCCCTCCTCTTCGGCTTTTCCAGGCGCGGCAGCGGCAGTTGGCTGTAGAGGAGCTCCAGGCACTACGCCGCTCGGCTCGTGACACTGCCACTCTGGCCCGTTTCACATCCCTTCAGGGCCCGGGGGCTGGTGCATGGGTTTCGGCGAACCTGGCTCACTCAGATCTCACATTCACTGCGGCTGAGTGGGGCATTGCTGCTGTTATACGGCTCGGGCTCCCAATTCAGCAGCTGCATGTGGCGGGGAACTGTGTTTGTGGAACAGCGTATGTCGATCCAGCAGACCCGCATCATGCCCTGGGATGCAAGCACCAGCACGGTCCATCTCGGGTGCATGATGAGGTGAAGTTTGCGATGGCGAGGATCTCTAAGGCGTCAGGGGGGGTGGTGACGATGAAGGATAGTGTGGTGCTGCCGGGTAAGCGGGTTGACGTAGCGGTGCGACGACCAATGGCCGAGGAGGCTCACGCTCTAGAGATCAGCGTCGTGGACCCACTATCGCTGTCTCCATCTCTGCTAGGGCAGTGCGGGCGTTCTATGGTGTGGCGGCAAAGGAATGGGATCGTTGCAAAACGAGTTATTACGCGCCTCTGCTTGCACGCAACCGGGGCATGCAGTTCACCCCTTTGATAGTAGAGACGTGGGGGTGTCTCGGCGGTCGTTTCCGGCGGTGACTTCGACAACAGGGGGACGCGCATGTGGGGCTAGCTGTGTCACGGGGGGCTTGTCGGGAGGACGACACTTCGTTTTCGGCTTATCTTTTGGGGTCTCTGAAGGCGCTCATCGGGGTGGCGTTACAACGGGCGCAAGCTCGTGTCATCCTGCTTCGGGCGGCGTCTTCCATGGGGGGGATGAATGTGGACTTGGTGGACCGGGAGAGAGACGACGTCGAGCTGGAGGGCGGGGCTCTTTGGGTGGAGGTCCCATACATGGTGGATGCGCAGATGTGACTGAGGGGGGGTGAAATGGGGTGCGGGATGGGGTGTCTTGATGGGGTGTCCTGACTGGGTGTTTTGATTGGGTATTTTGATGGGGCTTTTTATGGGCGTTGCGTTTGGATTTTTTTGGCAGTTTTACCTTCCTTCTCCTTTTCCTTCTCCACCTCCCTTCTTCATGTCTCTCTTTCCCCTTTTCCTCTTTCTGTCTAGGATCATGTGATGTACGCTTATGTATTAGAACACGTGCATTGGTTTTCCAGGTGAAAATTGTTATGAATGAACTTGCAGAGTGCGCAGAATAACGAATAACGAGAATGGGTACTGAATTGATACAATGAACACACAATGTGACGAGGCCTAAATAGGGGAAGTCCTAGCTAGGCGAAAAGGTAGGGCGAAGATGGCTCGGTGATGGTTGCGATTGGAGCGGAGGCCGACTCGGGGGTGGTTCGGTGCGACGAAATAGGACGAACAGGTTCGTCGCGTGACCCTCGGGATGGCCTCGCTAACGAGTGCCTCAGTAAGGATTTGTAAATCCTTACAAAAATATTTTCGTCTACGTAATCCTAGTATCGAATGGTTGTATTCGACCGTATACTGTTGATTCTAGCATCTGTATACTGTTATGAATGAATTTGCAGAGTGCGCAGAATAACGAATAACGAGAATGAGTACTGAATTGATCCAATGAACACACAAAGTGACGAGGCCTAAATAGGGGAAGTCCTAGCTAGGCGAAGAGGTAGGGCGCAGATGGCTCGGTGATGGTTGCGGTTGGAGCTGAGGCCGATTCGGGGGTGGTTCGGTGCGCCGAATTAGGGCGAACAGGTTCGTCGCGTGACCCTCGGGATGGCCTTGCTAACGAGTGCCTCAGTAAGGATTTGTAAATCCTTACATACACTCTCTATGTAACATGTTTGGAACTCTCGTGTACTTCACCTGATGGTTGCCATGAAATGGTCCCACCCGCGTTCCCCGGGGGTGAGGATGTACCGCCTCTGTAGCGCAGGTAGCGCTCATGTTGCGCTTTCAGGTGTCGATACGGCACGCTATTGGCTGATCTTGATAGGTCTACGAGTCGCAGCTTCTGTTACTTTGTTTGTGCCGCACACTGCGCCCCTTTCAACCAGCCCAGAAATGCCTGCACCCCTTGATGCTTGACCCAAGCCCACACATGGCTACAACAAGGCGGGCGCAGCTGCGGGTGAAACGCCGCTGGACAGAATGCGACATCTCGCGCCAACTGCGTGTGTGGCTGGCAGAATTCCACCCCAGGACTTGTGCTGGATGAAGGCGCGACCTAAGTGGTCTGACTATTAGGTCACACAAAAAAGCATTGAGAGGCTACGAGTGCCAGCTGTTGTATACTTTCGTTCGCGACGCCGCATCGCCGTCATTGCAAACAGAGCTCTCTCACGTCGGGATTAAGTCCATTCAGATTGAGCCGTTTCTGTTCCTTTGCTAGCAACATGGGCGCAGAACCGGACACGCAGCCCGAATCGACGGTGGACGAATCAGTCCAAGTGAGCGACGCGTATGACGACGAGGAGTCGCAGTACGCATCGGTCAGCAAGGTGGGTCGTCCACGTCGCATGGCGTCGCAAGACGGAGGCACTCAGGGATGGTTGTGCACGGCGATAGGACGCCATACAGCGGCGCGCTCGTAGTGCAGCGGGCGCTGCTGTCGACGGGACGCGCAGCTGCGGCTAGCGCATACGCCAGGATGCGGCTAGGCCGTGACGAGAGGGCGCGACGCTGGGGAGGACAGAGAGGGCGGGAGGAGCTAGTGTGGCTTGCGCGGGTAGAGAGGACGGCACTGCGGGAGACGAGTGGCCATGCCGACGATGACAGGCCGGCGCGTCACTCGAGCTCCTTCACGGGTCACTTTTCTCTTCTTCTTCTCACCGCTGCTCACTCACTTCCCCCACCTGCATTTCCCCCCTCCTTCCCCCCCTTCTCCCCACCTCCTCCCACCCCCCTTGCGCCTCCCCCCACATTGTTCCTTTCGTCCGGTCGCAGCAGTCGATCGAAGCCAGTGCGCGCTACACGACCGTGCGACAGCTCTTCACGTCGCCCACCGACTACGGTCAGTCACGCGCCCTCCCCCGTCCCCCTCGCTCGCCTCACACTCATTCTCGCCTCGCGCCTTCCTGCATTCGCGCCTTCCGTTCGCCGTCCCCCTCATCCCAAGCTTCTTCTCCTCGTGATCTTCCTCTTTCCAACCCCCCATGCCCCAATCCCCATTTATCCGCTCTCCCACCTTCCATGTCCCCTCCCCCCCCGCGGCCGCAGACCCGTCGCGCGAGACGCACTACGTGCTGGTGGTGCACGGCACGTTCGACTCGCCGCCCGGCCCGGGGAACCCGCCACCGTGGTACTTCCTGGACGCGAAGCGCGCCGATAACTTCTGCCACCTCATCGCCAAGGACCTCAAGGCCACGCCGCTCGGCTTCGACGCCGTGTGGCGCCAACTGCCGGGTGCGCCGGGGGGTGGGGTGGTTGTGGGGGACGAGGAGGGGCGGGGGCAACGGGAGGGAGGTGCAGGTTGGCGGGGTTAGCAATCTGCGAGATCCATCCTCTTCATCTCCCTCGTTCTCTCCTCTTTTCCCGCCCTGTACTCCATCCCCCTAACTCCCCTGCCCCCCTCCCCCCGTTCCCCACGAAAACAGACTCGCACGCGGGCTTGCGGTTGCGCGAGGACGTGCCGTACCCGTTCCACTGGTCGGGGCACAACACGCACGAGGCGCGCGTCGATGGTGAGCGCACCGAGGGGGAGGATGGGAGCGCTTTTTGGAGGGGAATGGGGAGTGAGGGCACCCGGGGGATGGGGAGTAGGGGTTTGAGCGTGCCCGGGGTACGGTGTGCAGCAGGGGGCGCGGATGACGGGCACGGCGCGGCCCCAAGCGGCACGGCCATGCTTGATCGTCCCGCTCACCTCTTGCGCCTCACAAACCATCCCTCTTATCCGCCAATGCCGCCACTCATTACTCCCCCGAATCCATCTACCCCACCACGCGCCCCACGCCCCCTCCCCCCTCCCTGGCGCAGCGGGCAAGGCTTTGGCGCAGCTGATCCACGCTGTGGGGCGCGCGGACCCGTCGGCGCGCGTGCACGTGGTGGCGCATAGCCACGGGGGGAACGTGGCGCTGAAGGCGGTGTCCAAGTACCTCTCCATGCTCCGCCGCGACTCCCGCGACCCTGCGCGCGCCTCCCACGACCAGATCACCGCCGCCTTCTGGGAGGCGCACGCGGAGGGGTACCGGAGCATAAAGGAGCACCAGCAGGTGAAAGTGAGCGCCGTGTGGATGCTGGCCTTCGCGCCCTTCCTTGTGGTGAAGCGGCCATGGCGGGGCGACGAGGCGCTGGGCGCCTTCCCCTACGCCTACTTCCAACGCGTTGACTCCCTGCTCGGCCTCCCCAAGTCAGTGCCGCCCCCCTGCTCCACTCCTTAAACCTCCGTGCTCCACTCCCCCCTCACGACCGTCGTTGAAGGTCGCCTGCCTCCTGCACTCACTCCCCATCTCCCACCACTCTGCTCCTCCTCCCCTCTTCTCACTCCCTCCCTCATTCGCTTTGTCTCTCCCACCCATCCCTTTTCCGCCTACCCACCACACCCCACTCGCCCACCACACACACACTAACCCCGCAACCCTGTACCCCTCTCCCCCATCTCCCCCAGGGTGCGGCAGGCCAAGTACCTGCGGAAGAAGTGGGCGGGGAGCAGCAGCAGCAACTGTCTGGGGCGAGTGGTGTTCCTGGGTACGCCCTTCTACACCAAGCACTGGGACCCGCAAGCCGCTCTCACCATGGCACGCACCATCCTGGGGCTCTCCGTGCTGGTGTTTGTGGTCATCGTGGGCGCGGTCGTGTCGGTCAAGTATGCCATCTTCCATGAGGTCAACACCGCTGAACTCACTGGAGGAGAGGTCAGCTCCCCACCCACCCGGCCCTTTCTCTTTCTGTATCTCCCACCTTCTCTGCCTCACTCTCCGTGCTGGTGTTTGTGGTCATCGTGGGCGCGGTTGTGTCGGTCAAGTACGCCATCTTCCACGAGGTCAACACCGCTGAACTCACCGGCGGCGAGGTCAGCTCCATACCCCACCGCCTCCCCCCCAATTTCTCTGCCTCACTGCGTGCCTGCTGGCCTGTCAACTCATCTTCCTCATCCATTCTGCCTGGCACACTATACTCCACACTCGCTCAATCCTCCCTGTCCTCGCCCTGCACCCTCTGCCCCTATCCTCTGCACCACCTCGCCTCGCTGCTCTTTTGTGCCCGGGAACCCGCAGCTGACATTCTGGGTGATGGTGGCGGTCGTATCAGTAGCAGTGGTGGTGTACAACACGTTGAGCAGCAAGCGCTACAGCGATGGCAATGTCTACTTCACACTCGCTCACTCCTCCCTGTCCTCGCCCTAACCCCACTGCCCCTCTCCTCTTCTTTGCCGTGTCCACAGCTGACTTTTTGGGTGACAGTGGCGCTGGTGTCGGTGGCAGTGGTGGTGTACAACACGTTGAGCAGCAAGCGCTACAGCGACGGCAACGTGTATTTCACGGAGAAGAAGGCGTGGAGCCCCGCCATGAGCGCCCTCGTGCTCAACGCCGGGAAGCTTGATGAGGCCGCCCTCGCGCTCTCCACGGAGCCCCTCGTGCGCGCCTACCTCATGCCACAAGTCAAGGTGCGCCTACCTCATGCCACAAGTCAAGGTGCGCCTACCTCATGCCACAAGTCAAGGTGCGCCTACCTCATGCCACAAGTCAAGGTGCGCCTACCTCATGCCACAAGTCAAGGTGCGCCTACCTCATGCCACAAGTCAAGGTGCGCCTACCTCATGCCACAAGTCAAGGTGCGCCTACCTCATGCCACAAGTCAAGGTGCGCCTACCTCATGCCACAAGTCAAGGTGCGCCTACCTCATGCCACAAGTCAAGGTGCGCCTACCTCATGCCACAAGTCAAGGTGCGCCTACCTCATGCCACAAGTCAAGGTGCGCCTACCTCATGCCACAAGTCAAGGTGCGCCTACCTCATGCCACAAGTCAAGGTGCGCCTACCTCATGCCACAAGTCAAGGTGCGCCTACCTCATGCCACAAGTCAAGGTGCGCCTACCTCATACCACAAGTCAAGGTGCGCCTACCTCATGCCACAAGTCAAGGTGCGCCTACCTCATGCCACAAGTCAAGGTGCGCCTACCTCATGCCACAAGTCAAGGTGCGCCTACCTCATGCCACAAGTCAAGGTGCGCCTACCTCATGCCACAAGTCAAGGTGCGCCTACCTCATGCCACAAGTCAAGGTGCGCCTACCTCATGCCGCAAGTCAAGGTGCGCCTACCTCATGCCACAAGTCAAGGTGCGCCTACCTCATGCCACAAGTCAAGGTGCGCCTACCTCATGCCACAAGTCAAGGTGCGCCTACCTCATGCCACAAGTCAAGGTGCGCCTACCTCATGCCACAAGTCAAGGTGCGCCTACCTCATGCCACAAGTCAAGGTGCGCCTACCTCATGCCACAAGTCAAGGTGCGCCTACCTCATGCCACAAGTCAAGGTGCGCCTACCTCATGCCACAAGTCAAGGTGCGCCTACCTCATGCCACAAGTCAAGGTGCGCCTACCTCATGCCGCAGGTCAAGGTGCGTGCGCTCATGCTGTCAGCTGAAACGCGCTTCTCGCTCCCTTCCCACCCCACCTCTTCACTCCACCACCTTCCCATGTTTCCCTCCGCACATCCCCCACCCCCTCAATCCCCTTTACCCCGTGCCGCAGACCATGCTGACGCCCGACCCATGGCGCATGCTGCGGCCGTTCCCCGCCAAGACATGGCTGGTGTCGCTGGCGAATCTGTACAACAACTGCTGGGTGGCGCTGTGGACGCTCGTGCTGGTGGTGCCGTACATCATCCTGTGGCTGCTCAACTTCTTCCTCGTCCCTTACTTCTGCAACCAGCTGCTGCGCCTCTTCATCACCCTCGGCTTCGGCCTGCAGAAGGTACGACCCCACCTGCCCCGCCACCACATGGTGTCCGCCCCGCCCCTTGTCCCGCCACCACACTGCATGCGCCCTGCCCTGCCACGCCACATGTCAGCTGGGTGAGGACAGTGACTGCGGGCTTGCTCTTGCCTTGTGCCATCCCTCTTCTCTCCGCCAGCTCAATGCTTCCTTCTTTCCCCTGCACGTGTGCCGCTGCGCATGTGCGCTGCTGTGCTGCGTTGTGGGGCATGGCATCTCATGGCATGGCATGGCATGGCATGGCATGGCATGGCATGGCATGGCACGGCATGGCACGGTGGGAGCAGAACGAGTTGGACTGTGCGCAGGTGTACGTGGAGGAGTGGCTGCGCCTGCCACCAGCGACGCACAGCATAGCGCATTGGAATGTGCAGAAGATCCTCACAGCCGCCACGCTCGACCAGCTCAAAGACCTCCGCAAGCGATGTCAGTCTCCCACCAACCCAAACACTCCCCCACCCCCTCCTCTTCCTCGCTCACCTCCACACTCGCGCCCTTGCCCTTCCCCCACCCCTCCTACCACGCCCTCTGCTCTGCTCACACCTTCCCCTGCGCTCACACCTTGAGCCGCTCACTTGACACTCCATCCGTCTCCATGCCCTGCCTTGCTGCCCCTCCCACTGCACTCTGCATGCGCCCTCACCCCTTTCTTCCCCTCCCTTCTCCCCTTGTCCCCCCCCCCCCCCCTCCTTTCCCCTCCGCTGTGTGTGGCATGGTGCAGCGGTGATCCCGGGGGAGGCAGCGGCAACGGAGGAGGCGCTGATGGAGGCGCACACGCAGCTCGTGGACCCCCATGCCATCGCCCAGCGCTGGCGCTTCCTCTGGGTGCGTGCTCAAGCCGTGCATCCATGTGCATTCATTCATGCCTTCTTTTCAAGTGTGTCCCCAGAATGGGGGTGTGCATTTACCCTCATGCTCACTGCACTCAACCCCACCATTCTCACTGCTCCCGCCTCTTTCGTTATGTGCATGGCATGCTGGCAGGACGACCCGGAGTTGGAGAGGAAGGCGGAGGATTCGACGACACTGGCGCTGCTCAAGAACCAAGTCGATAAGATGGCACACAACCCCCGCATCTCCAGGTGACCCACATACCCTGCACCGCTGCGCACACACCTTCCTCACGCGCTGCATGCACACACCCTTGCCACATCCCCACACCATCTCACCCGCGCCTCTCTTGTTCCCTATCCCCCACCCCCCTGCTCAACGCCCCTCCCTTTCCCCCGTGCAGAGTGGCGTTTGAGCGGGAGTTGAAGGTGGTGTGTGTGACCCTAGAGGAGCGGTACAAGGACATGACGGGCAACGTGGAGCTCTCACACGGCAGCTACTTCCGCAACCACGTCGTCATCGCTGTCATCGCTCACTTCCTCGCACACGGAGAGGTGCCCAGCTGGGCGCCGCAGCTGGGTGAGATGACCCCGCCCGCTCAGAAGCCCGCTAAGAAGGGCCCCATGTCGCGCCTCTTCAGCCGCCGCATCACGCCCACCTCTGACGAGCTCGACACCACCCCCTCGCAATAACGCCGGCTCCTGCGGGGGCTGCATGCAGGCAGCCCTCCCTCTCACCTCACCACATACAGAACCAGCTGCCATAATGGCAGCAGTGGAGCACAAGGGCTGGGTCTCAAGTGTTATTATAATTTTTAAACACAGTGTTTTTTTTAAATTGTGTATTGTGAAAGCGAAGCTGCTTGTATTGCACAATTGGCATCGTCGAAGCGCGCTAAACGCCCTTCTCCAACTACAAAAACCGTGGGTTGGAGCTCATTTCCCTCCACCCACGTTTCTCTATTTTCAAACGGCTCACTCAACATTCCCACCACCCACCCCAGCGTAAACAGATTCGCGCATGCCACTTGGATAGGGTATATCATAGCTAGTGATATGAGCATGCACTAGCTTGTGTTCAATTGTGATGCAAACGTTGTAAACAGCAATTTGTAATGAGAACGATGCCAATTGATAAGAATAAGAAAGCAAGCTTTCTCAATTTTGGTGTGCTTGCCACCATGCTCTCAGCTGGGGCGAACAGATGGCTGACTGTTGACTTGACTGGACAGCCGGTTGCTCTCAAGTGCACTGGTGTCTTACGGTAACAATGCAGGCCTTTTTACTGTATTAGGCCACTCTACAAGGCCAGTGGCCTGGTGTTGTATGTATATCCACGTTAAAATAACCGCAAGGCTGAAGCCATTTGCGTTGTTGTATCCGCAAAAGGAAGGATGACAAGATACGAAGGCAATGAGTGGCCCCTTGGCTGGATAACCACCTGCATGGAAGCTCATGGTTAACAAGAAACACTAAGAACCAGCTGCCGTGCACAAGAATGAGGCAACTCTTAGCAGGCGAGGCAAGGGTGACATAGTGCGCAGCTAGTCCCCTGCCATACCCATGCACCACGGCCCTGTCGTATCCCTGCTCACCCTGAGCCACAGTCCCGCTTCAGCGCAACCTCAGCCTAGCCTACCGGAGCAATAGTGAGTGCACCGCTGCTGTCAGCTGGCAGCCGCAGCGGAGGTCGTGGCATTGGGGGAGGCGGAGAAAGAGGAGGAGGCGGAGGCAGCAGAGGAGGAGGGGGAGGAGGGGGAGACGCCAAACTGGGAGTGGAAGTCGGCGTCAGTGAGTCCCACGATGTGCTGGATGCACACGGCGTGCGACCCAAACGTCTGCAGGATCTCATGGTGCGACCGCCCGAACTTGCGCAGGCGGCGCTCGTTGTCCGTAGTGATCACCTCGTCGTGCGCGCGGATCGCGTACCCCGCGGCGAGCAGCACGGCGCAGCGCGGGCGGATGCGCGAGTCGAGCGAGTAGCCGAGGTACGCGGGGAAGTTGAGCACTTCGAAGCGGTCTAGCCCGAGCTCTTCGAGGAAGCGGAACTTGGGCAGCAGTACCTTCTCCCAGCTGAGCGTCAGCGCCTGCGGGAACGCGTTCACCAGCTTGTCCGTCGCCGCGGGGTCGAGAAACATCTCGAGACGCGAGTACTGGCGCATGAGGCGCTTGGTGTCGATGGTGAGCAGGCCGGGCGCGACTTTAAAGACGTTGGAGAGGCGGTGCTTGTGGAAGATGGAGGCGAGGTACTGGATGCGCTGCACGATGGCGTCGCGCGACATGAGCAGCACCAGCGGCTTCTTCAGCAGCACGTCCGCGACTTGCTCGGGTGCGATGAACTGCTTCAGCACCTCCACCGTCTCCGTGATCTGCGCCTGCGACAGCCCCAGCACGCGCGGCTGGCGCTCGATCATGCGGTAGATGTCGCGGCCCTCGCCCACGATGTACTGCAGCTTGGCGAGCGACGGCGTGATCTCGCTCTCGCTGAGCTCCATGATGCGCGGGAAGCGCAGCAGCACGCGGTGCACCTTGTCGCGCTCCACGCCGAGCGACTCGAGGTACGCCACCATGTCGTAGATGCGCTGCACTGGGCTGTGCAGCCAGCGCGGCTCGCGCACGAGCGACGACGCGACCTCGCCGAGCGAGGAGCCGAGGTCGAGCAGCACGCGCAGGCGCGCGAGGATGTCGACGACGCTCAGCTGCAGCACGTCCGGGTCGCTCGATATCGCCTGCGCCACCTGCTGCTTGCCCAGCCCCAGCGCCAGCAACAGCCGCACCACCTTCGTCTCCCGCGAGTCGCATTTCCTGTCGAGCATGGCTACAGTGTCGTCGACGAGCCCCACGCTGATGGACCGCAGCTGCGGCCATTCCTCGTCCACCGACTCGGAATGCTCCGACGATTCCTGATTTTCCGATGCATTCTCTAACGATGCGCCGCTGTCCGACGCGCGGGGGATAAATGTTCGTGACGCCGACGAGTGAAGGCTAAGCCTTTGCAGGCCACGCTCTAACAGCGAAACCCCGGACACTCGCGAGCCTTGTGACTGAAAGAAAGACGCAGTAGCAGGAGAAATTTCCTGCAATAATGACGAGCCTACACTTGCTATTGAGTGAGCCAAGTGCGCTTCCGCAGCCATGGCTCCTCGTAGCAAATCAGACCAAGGACGGTTCTGGGTCTTCTTACCCTAGAAACGAGAGGGCGAGAGAGCTAGTGGGAGTGTAGGTTTAGGGAGGAGCGGAGTGGTGAAGGGGAGGAGGGAGATGGAGGAAGGTTTTCAGGGGAGCCTGCTTTCAAATCTGTCTACAAACGAGGGATTTCGATTTGAAGTTTAAAAAATACGACGCTTCCACAATACAGTAATGCGGAAACAAGCGATTTTATGCACAATATTGTGAACAAAAGCAGCCTCTGCTGATGTGGCTGACAACGTTTCCGAGGCTCCACGTGGAGTCCCATCGGATTTGGCAATCCCCAAAAATATTGCGCTGAGCGCGGCAACCCGCCAGGCAAGCCAAGCGCATCTCTCTTCAAAATCCAACCATCTTCTCTAGGCCAGAGAGGGGTAACAAGCAAATCGTGAATCCTGATTCACAAAATTGCCACAGCCCAGAAGCTAAAGAGCCAGTGAGCGACGCACTAGCACGGAGCCCTCATCACCATCACGTCGCTCAGAATCAACTGATAAGCAACGGTTGGTTCCGCGCAACGAAAATCCCTCCTTAGAACTGCAGCGTAAAACTTGCCACAATGCAGAGTGTGACGGCGCTCGATGCAACGCATCAAATTCCACGACTTGGCTTGGCGCAGCCGCTATCCAGACAACCATGTCGAGCGGATCGCGTGAGAATGCTCGTCAGTAGAGTGCCAACTGGGCTTAAGGCCGCAGGAACGGGGGATCATCGAGTCGCGATGGCGATGCCGGCCGCGCATGCCTCCGCTGCACTGGCTCTCCTCCAACCAGGTGAGCGTCCTCGTTCCCCGTCGCTCTGATTTCCTGCGAACCAACCAGACGGCTCATCTCTTCGTCGTCTCGTATGGCCCCTCATTTCCCGCCTCTCTCGATCCCTCGTTTGGTTCTGATTCGTCGCCTCGGTTCTGCTTAAATGCCTATCTGATGCCCGATCCCGCGTGCCCTACGGCTGCTGCGCTGCAGACATGGCTCGAGCGGTGGAGGACGTGTCGTTGCCGCTAGCATTGCTCAACCCCGCTTATGACATGGTGAGTGCGCAGGCCGCTGCCGTGGGGTGCATATCTATCACAGTCTCTCGTCCTTGCTCTAGATCGCGGGCCGGTGCGTCTGCTTTCGTTTCGTGGGACCGGAAATAACCCTTCGTACGCATGACCGGCGCCCCTCCCGTGTCCCCCCGTGCGCGGCGCGGCGGTGCAGGTGGCGGAGGCGGCGCCGCTGGAGTTCAGCGTGCTGTTCCTGTACCTGGGCGGGCTGCTGGCGCTGCTGGGCTTCGGCACGTTCCTCGTCGTGCGCCAGGTGCTCGTGAAGCGCGAACTCGAAAACGCCGCCAAGGAGCTCCAGGTGAGGCCACGCCGGGAGATGCGCGTGAGGAAGAGAGGGGGGCAGAGAGTGTGGGACGAGGCAAGGCTAGAATGTCATTCACAGGCGAAGGGAATGAGGCGAACATGAATGGCTGGGAAGGACTAGCGAGTCAGGAGATGGAACATGGCAGCAAGGACACATTGGGGTTAGAGAGCAAGATGAAACTGGCACATCACAGGAATCAAACCCCTTGGACTCGAATGTCTCGACTTGATCCCTCTCCTCCCCTTCCCGCGTGTGGCATGGGTGCGGCAGGATCGCGTGCGGTCGGGCGAGGCATCGAGCGAGGAGTACTTCGAGCTGGGCGCCATCATGCTGCGCAAGAAGTTCTTCGTGGTGGCCAACAAGTACCTCGAACTCGCCATCGCCAAGTGGGAGGGCGACGAACAGGAACTCGCTCAGGTGCGGGGGGATGGGGGGTTGGGTGGGGGGGAGAGGGGAATGGGGCGGGAGTGGGCCATGGATGGCATACCTGATGAGAATGCAAGCATGTCGTGGCACGTCTACAAGCATGGGCATGCAGGCTGATGGATGCACGCGCACAAACACCTGCATGCACACGCTCGCATGTACATGCTCATGCAAGCATGCGCGCACGAACACACACACACACATGCACCACCCCACTTTCTCCCCCCCTTCCCCACACATTATTCACGAAGTGATTGATGGAAAGCACATGCACATGAACATACCCCCCTGCATACAGCAGCCCCTCTGACCATTCAACCCACCCTCCCACCCACGCGCCCCGAATTCACCTCACTACCTGAACCTCATGTTTGGAGGCGCGCCTGTCTGCTCTGCTCCTCACGTGCTACACACCTTGCCCACTCCCCTGCCGCTCTGCCTCCCCTCCCTGCTGCCCTGATCCCGCCTTCCCCCCCCCCCACTGCTCTGTGGCATGTGGTGGGAGCAGGTTTACAACGCGCTGGGGTTCAGCTACTTCAGTGAGGAGAAGCTCAAAGAGGCGGTGAAGGCGTATGAGAAGGCCGTCAGCCTGCAGCCCGCGTACGTGACGGCGTGGAACAACCTGGGGGACGCACTGGAGAGGCAGAAGGAGTGGGCGCGCGCCCTCAAGGCGTACGACACGGCGCTGGTATACGACCCCTCCAACCGCATTGCTGTCGGCCGCGCCAAGGACCTCCGCCAGCGCGTCGAGCGGCTACGCTACTGATGCCCGCCCCCCCCTCTGCTGCACTCTGCATGAAGTGTCTCTGAATAAAGCACTAGTTTTACCAAGACTAGGTGTTAAATTGGAGGTGCACAGCAAACCCTCCCTTGCTGCAGTGTTTCTTCTTTACCAGGGAGTGCCAACTTCCTGCTTGTTGTTGTGAGCTTAGATCCTGATGGTAGCTTTAATATGATTCTCTTTCACCATGATTAACCAGAACCTCTGAACAGATTGGGAGGTGAAATGTGTTGGACGATTGTCGGAAGCCACCCGTTCGACTTACGGCCAAGGAACCATTGAGATCATGTCAACTGATGAAGTAACAGAGCTGTCTATTTGGTCCTTCGCTGAAGTCATTGTCACAATTGATGTAGTGGCTCGCAGCGAGGGACGTGGTGCGCAGTGTGCACAATCTGTGCTTGGGCCGCACTGAATTCGAGCTACCATGATACGGTACAACAAAGATCCGAGTGTTAAAAGTTTTTTTATATATATTTCCCCTTTTAGAATCAAATAACGCTGTTAGAGAGTATTGAACAGTAACGTTCAACAAAATGATCCAAAACTAGTAGGAACCAATATTGATATACGGTAAGCACCTCCCCCACGTCTATCAACGTGCTGCTTTGAAGATTCAGTCATTTCACAATAAATGCAGAAGCCGTGTAGTCGACACCCTATAAGCATCGCTGTAAGGAAATGTCCTTTTCCTTACTTCGCGTCCCTGCTCAGCGCGTACACCACTGTTCCCACCCACAGCACCCAACAGTAATCCGTTACCACTCGCGACACTCGCTTCGACACCATTCCCGCCACCATTCACGACGCGACCCAACCTCACGGTTCGGTTGGTAACCCGCGCTCCGGACCTCCGCCTCGACACTTTCCCAACCTCGGCACCAGGCCCGTCGCGCACCCCATTTTTCACACATTACCGTTACCACTGTAGTTTCGCTATATATTCTTCGCTCATGCCTTCGCTCATTGTACTCTTGCTTCGATAGTGCAATTCTCACTCGTTCGCTCAATTGCACTCGTAACACTTGGTTATCAGAGCCTACGATCTCTTCTCGGACCGCACCCACACCTTCGCTTCCCCACTATCTCCATTTTTGGGGGGGGTAGACGTCTCTCAGCGAACAAGCACCGCCGCTCGAAGTGCCCTCTCGTAAGCACGCACGGCCACGACAGAGGCTCCCGCTGAGTTTGCCAGACACCCCCGCCATGGCCGACATTAATCTTGCGACATTGACGCAGGAGCAGCTCGACCGTCTCGTACGTCAACTCGAAGATTCGGCACTCGAAATTGCGACACTCACGGCGGAACGTGACTCCGCCCGCCAGCAATCAACGGTGAATGCACCGGCTCCATCACAAGCACCCGCAAATGCACCTGCGCAATCAGAAGAACCGATCGTCATCTCATCAGGCACACAGACGCAAAACGACAGCATGGGACAGCGCTCAGGCGCAGCCAGTGATGGCGCCGCTCAATCAATGCCTGGCATGGAGAGAAATCGGGCCGCGCCAAGCCCGCGTGGGCCTCGCGAAGCTCGTCGGCACGTGGAGTTTGCAGCAACAAGTGGCGACCACATCATGGCACCAATGCCACTCAAGCCGCAGCGCCCGCCCTGTTTCGATCCAAGCCAACGTGGAGGTCCGACGGTTCAGTCGTGGGTCTTCACGATGAACGTTTTCTTCGACGCGAATTACGTCGAGTCGGACGCAGCGAAGATTCGCTATGCTGTTTCGCTGCTGAGGGGCCCCGCCATGGACTGGTGGCGAGTCATCGTGACGTCGCCACGCGCCTACGAGCCACTGTCGCAAGAGGAAGGGCCCACGGGACCAGCCGTCACCTGGAGTTCATTCTGCGAAACAGCCCAATACAGCACGTGGGATGCGTGGTGCGCAGGGCTTCGGGCGCGCTTCGAGCCGATCGCGGCTTCTATTTCGGCGCGTCAGAAACTGCGTACTTGGCGGCAGCTCGGATCGGTCCAAGACTACACGAGCGGTTTTCTCGCATTATGCGAGCAAGTCGGCTATATGCACGAAGCGGAGCGGGTGGACCGTTACGTCGGAGGGCTGAAGCCGGACATCTCGCACGAAATCATGCTACGCGGACTCTCAAATTTCAACGAGATTCTCGCGCTCGCCGAGAAAATCGACATATTACGCCGACCGAGACCGGGGTCCTACTACGGACATCGCCCTCGGGGACCAATCGAGCACGCCACTGTACACGCTGTTGCGACGAACGCAGCTGTCGCGCCGTTTAAGGGGCGCTGCTTCGCTTGCAATAGGCCGGGCCATCGTAAGAGTGAGTGCCCAGAGGAGCTGAGGCGCCGCGGAGCAGAGCAGGGGAGGGAGTCTCTAAGGCAGGGAAACGCCAGCAGTCAGTAGGAATCGGGCCAACTACTGACGAGAGTGCCTGCTCGCCCAACCACACCGACCCTCACCGAGTCACAGTACCGATTCACGCTATCGATCGGGCTCGGATGAATAAGGAGGGTACAGCGACGGATTGCCCAGTACTGATCCACGGGAAAATACAGGGAGCAGCAGTGAAGATTTTTATAGACGGAGGAGCAAGCCACAGCTTAGTTAATACCGCAACCGCACGAAAGCTGCAACTGACACTTAGTCGGTGTTTACCGGAAATAGATGCACGCTTAGTGGACGGAACGCCACTGGCCATACGGGAGAAGGTGGAGAGAGTAGAGGTCCGCTGCGGGGGAATTTTTGGGTTTACACAGGAAATGCTCGCGACGACATTGGATGGGCACGACATTTTACTGGGACGTGATTGGCTGCGACGGTATAACCCGCGAATCGACTGGACGACGGGTAGCTGCACTGTGCGAAGTAGCGGTAACTGGGTCGTGCTACCTCGTTGGCAGTCGCCCGAGTCTTCAACGGTCCACGTCAACGCCATCACGATGAAACGGGCTGTCGCCGTTGGAGCTGACGTGTACGCAGTGGATATAGCATTGGTAGGAGAAGCGGAGCAGCCGAACGATTTTCAGAAACTGTTGGCAGCAGTACCGCCTGAACTACAGGAACTGTTGAAACGATACCCGGGGATTTTTCCGGACGATTTACCAGAGGGACTGCCACCTCAGCGGGCACATGACCACCGCATAGAGTTAGAACCGGGGGCACAGCCAACTGTACAGCGACAATTCCGCCTGACACAGCCAGAGCTCGACGAACTGAGGAAGCAGTTAGATTACCTGTTAGAGAAAAAATTCATCCGACCGAGCTCGTCGCCGTTCGCCGCACCGATACTGTTCACACCGAAAAAAGACGGGGGTTTCCGCATGTGTATCGACTACAGAGCACTGAACAGGGTAACAGTCAAGTCGCGATACCCCATTCCCCGCGCCGACGAACTGATAGATCAACTGCGAACAGCACGGGTTTTTTCGAAAATATATTTACGGGGAGGTTACCATCAGATTCGGGCCGAACCATCAGACTGCGCCAAGACAGCATTTAGGACTAGGTACGGGTCATTCGAGTACACTGTGATGCCATTCGGGTTGACCAACGCACCGGCAACATTTCAGATGACCATGAACGAGGCGTTTAGGCCACTTTTAGATAAATGCGTGATAGTTTACCTCGACGACATCCTAGTCTACAGTCGTGATAAGCAGCAGCATTTAGCAGATCTGGAAGCAGTGTTTAACGTTTTAGACAAGCACCGACTACTGACCAAGGGTTCCAAGTGCGAGTTTTTTCAGGACAGGTTAGAATTTTTGGGGCACGTCATTTCGGAGGCTGGGGTTGAAATCGACCCCAAGAAGCTCGACACGGTCAAAGCATGGCACCCCCGGACAAATATCACGGAGCTGCAGAGTTTTTTAGGGTTCGTGAATTACGTGCGTCGGTTCGTCCCCGACATGGCGAAGTTAACAGCCCCACTGACGGATCTGCTGCGGAAAGGGGTCGCTTTTACGTGGGGGGAGAAAGAGCATGCTGCCTTCTCTGCCCTGAAAACTGTTCTCTGTTCACCACCCGTACTGCGCATCGCTGACCCACACCGCCCCTTCGAAGTAGTAACCGACGCAAGCGACATCGCCATTGGAGCCGTACTGCTACAGGATTTCGGCAACGGCCTACAGCCCATCGCATACGAATCACGAAAGCTGCATCCGCCCGAAAAAAACTACCCGATACTGTCAGAATATTATTGTATACATCACTTTATAACTGCCTGCAATGTAGACTTAGTGTAGTTATCTTGCTTGTTAGGTGGTGCACCTTGCTTCACTTCTTTCATATTTGTACCCTTGAACCTATAGTGAAACCCTCATTCTCCTTTACAATTTTCTCGACACTCTCCTCACCCTCGAACTTAACTACCAAGGCTCCTAAGCTATGGCTCCCAAGCCCACCTAACTCTACTATTTTTCACATGGAATCAGAGCGACTACGCTCTTGGCCTGTGGGCCCCACGTGCTTCCGCTGCTTTCTTTTCTGTCGCGCGCCCCGTGGCGCGCGACACTTTTTTCTTCCCGCCACGCGCTCGGGGCGCGTGGCGGTTTTCCGCCCGCCGTGCGCCCCGGACGCGCGGCGTCTTCCTGCCCCGACGCCGCCCTTCTCGGCCCCTCACGGCCTCTTCGCGGCCCCGTCGCTGCTCCTCTCACGGCCCCTCGCGCTACCCTCAGTGGCCCCGTCGCCACACTTCGCGGCCCTGTCGTCGCCCCTATCGGCCCTGTCGCCACTCCTAGCGGCCCCGTCGCCGCCCCTAGCGGCCCTGTCGCCGCCCCATCTCGGCACCGTTGCCGCCTTTAGCGGCCCCGTTGCCGCCCCTAGCGGCCCCGTCGCCGCTCTTCGCGGCCCCGTTGCCGCCCCTAGCGGCTCCGTTGCCGCCCCTTGTGGCCCTGTCACCTGCTCGTCGCGGCGCACCCCCCCCTGGCCGCCGCCTCTGCCTCCCTTGCGCCCGTGCCTGCTTTGCAGTAGCGCGCGGGCCTGCCTTGCAACAGCAGCCGCCCCTGGAGCAGCCACCCCAGCAGCAGCCGCCCCAGCAGCAGCCGCCCCTGGAGCAGCCGCCGCTGCAGCAGCCGCCCCTGGAACCGCCGCCCCTGGAGCAGCCGTCACTGCAGCAGCCGCCCCTGGAGCCGCCACTGCAGCAGCAGCCCCTGGAGCAGCCGCCCCAGCAGCAGCCGCCCCTGGAGCAGCCGCCGCTGCAGCAGCCGCCCCTGGAGCAGCCGTCACTGCAGCAGCCGCCCCTGGAGCCGCCACTGCAGCAGCAGCCCCTGGAGCAGCCGCCCCAGCAGCAGCCGCCCCTGGAGCAGCCGCCGCTGCAGCAGCCGCCCCTGGAGCCGCCGCCCCTGGAGCAGCCGCCACTGCAGCAGCCGCCCCAGCAGCCGCTACCCCTGCAGCAGCCGCCCCTGAAGCGGCCGCCCCTGCAGCAGCCGCCCCTGGAGCAGCCCGCAACTGCAGCAGCCGCCCCTGGAGCAGCCCGCACCTGCAGCAGCCGCCCCTGGAGCAGCCCTCACCTGCAGCAGCCGCCCCTGGAGCAGCCTGCACCTGCAGCAGCCGCCCCTGGAGCAGCCCGCACCTGCAGCGGCCGCCCCTGGAGCAGCCCGCACCTGCAGCCCGTCCCGTTCCCCCCCCCCCCCGTGCATTCCGTGGTGCTGGGGGTGTGGGGTGCCGAGCATGGGGGTGGCGGGTGTGGGGGTGGCGGTTATGTGTTCCTCCCCTTGCTCCTCCTCCTCCCTCGTCTCCCACTGCTGCAGCTGTCGCTGAGGGGGGTGGGTGTGTGGGAGCCTAGGGTTTAGGGTTTAAGGGGGGTGCTGTGGGAGTGGAGCTAGGGTTTGAACAGGGAGTGTGTGAGAGGGGAGTGCGACAGCTGGGGGAGGTTGTGTGAAGGTAGCTGTCGTGTCGCCTGCAGCGCCTGTAGTCCGTCGCCCTTGCTTCGGTAGCCAGTGAGCCTGTTGCACCAGTCGCCAGTGGGTCCGTTGCTCCTGCCGCTCATCTATAGCCGCGGAGCCAGTCACTCCAGTAGTCCGTCGCCCTTGCTTCGGTAGCCACTGAGTCAGCCGCTCCTGTGCCCGTGCCTCTGCAGCTTCAGTCGTTGCCTCGCATCTTCTCTTCCTCCACAGTCTCTCCTCCTCATTTGCCCTCTCTGTCTGCTGCGCTCTGCTTGGTGTACCCCTTCCGGGGGTGTTTCTGCACATGGTTCTTTACTGCAGGCAGTTAGGGGGTGTGTCAGAATATTATTGTATACATCACTTTATAACTGCCTGCAATGTAGACTTAGTGTAGTTATCTTGCTTGTTAGGTGGTGCACCTTGCTTCACTTCTTTCATATTTGTACCCTTGAACCTATAGTGAAACCCTTATTCTCCTTTACAATTTTCTCGACACTCTCCTCACCCTCGAACTTAACTACCAAGGCTCCTAAGCTATGGCTCCCAAGCCCACCTAACTCTACATTCCTCATTTCTTCACAGATACACGACCGCGAAATGCTCGCGATCGTGCATGCGTTCAAAGTATGGCGCTGTTACTTGACCGGCGCAGACATGACAGTACGGACAGACCACCGATCACTACAGTACCTCCGCGCACAGCCCCACCTCAACCCACGACAGATTCGCTGGCTCGATTTCCTCGAGTCCAATTTTCATTACACGGTCACCTATAAAAAGGGAGCCTCGAACATCGCCGACGCACTGACCCGACCCACTGCCCAGATCCACGCGATACTACTCGCCCAGACCAGCCCGCTACTGACCGGACTATTTACCCACGGATACCAAACGGACCCATTCTTCACAGGAGGAAATTCGCAGCAGTTCGCAGCAGCAAAAGGAGTCTATTACGTAAAAGCCGGGACCGACCGCATCTGGGTACCGGGGTACACACTGCTACGGGAATTACTGTTACAGGAGGCACACGACGGAATTACCTCGGGACATTTCGGGGTAGAGAAAACACGGCAGCAGCTGCAGCGGTATTATTACTGGCCCGAAATGTTGACCGACGTTCAACGACACGTGGCATCGTGTCCCACTTGCCAGATCATGAAGTCATCACGGAAGCGGCCGGCAGGACAGTTGCAGCCGATCCCACCCCCAGAGCGTGCTTGGCAGCAGGTGACGATGGACTTCGTCACGGGGTTACCTGCCGGAACGAGTGGGAATGACGCGATCATGGTCGTCGCCGATCGACTGACGAAAATGGCACACTTCGCAGCCTGCAAGAAATCAATCACAGCCGAAGAAACAGCCCGCCTCTTCATCGCCACCGTCGTACGACTGCACGGGATACCAGCATCAATCATCAGCGACAGAGATACGAAATTCACCAGCAACTTCTGGCGGAACCTGTGGCAGCAGTTCGGCACGCGACTGCAATTCAGTTCATCGTACCACCCCGAAACCGACGGACAGACAGAACGGACAAATCAGACCATGGAACAGCTCATCCGGGCCACGTGCGACGACCCGACCACGTGGGAACAGCAACTGCCACTCATCGAATTCGCATACAATAACTCACCATCCGCCACGACCCAACAGTCACCGTTTTACCTGAACTACGGACAAGACCCCACAGTACCCATGACCCCGAATCCCGACAACCCAGTCCCACGCGCACAACAGTTCGCAGAGATATTACAAGCAGCACGGACCCGAGCAGCAGAAGCAATAAAAAAATCAAACGTCATCGCTAAGCGCAACGCCGACCGACACCGCCGCCCCGTCACTTACCAGCCAGACGACCTAGTTTTACTCGACACCCAAAACCTCCGCCTGCCCATCACCCCGAAACTCCGCCCCCGATATTGCGGGCCATTTCGCATCAGCCACATGATCACACCCGTCACCGCCCACCTCCTCCTCCCTGCTGACTGGTACGTCAGCCCATCATTCCACGTCAGCCTGCTTCGCCCATACGTGCCATCCACCAGCCAACTGCCCCGCAACCGCCCCGCCAGCATGACCCGACCTCCAACTGAGCCGGTCATCACACCTGAGAAAATACTGAGCCATCAAGTACGTGACCCACGGGGAGCCCGCAGAAGCGAATTCCTGATCCGTTGGAAGGACCGCACCCCCACCGAAGACAACTGGGTCCCCCTGGATAGAATTGAGAAACACCCTGTCCTCACCGAGTATCTGCGAAGCCGAAACTTCCGAGATGTACACGCGCTCTCGTAAGAGGGGCCTCCTTGGGAGGGGGGGTAGTGTAAGGAAATGTCCTTTTCCTTACTTCGCGTCCCTGCTCAGCGCGTACACCACTGTTCCCACCCACAGCACCCAACAGTAATCCGTTACCACTCGCGACACTCGCTTCGACACCATTCCCGCCACCATTCACGACGCGACCCAACCTCACGGTTCGGTTGGTAACCCGCGCTCCGGACCTCCGCCTCGACACTTTCCCAACCTCGGCACCAGGCCCGTCGCGCACCCCATTTTTCACACATTACCGTTACCACTGTAGTTTCGCTATATATTCTTCGCTCATGCCTTCGCTCATTGTACTCGCTTAGATAGTGCAATTCTCACTCGTTCGCTCAATTGCACTCGTAACAATCGCCAAACCGCCACCTCCCTAAGGGTGACGGCGTCGCCATGCCAAGTCCTTCACGACCAGACCTGGTGGGGCTCTAAACGTCCAAGGCTGCGATAACCAATGGATGTAAAGCATGTTCGTTCGGGGGGGCCAAGCCTACCTGATTGCAAAACCCAAGCAGGGTGCAAAAGGACCTTCGGCGTCGCACCAACCAATAGCCGTCGCACGCATGGCGTCTCCCCTTTCCCACAGCCACGAGAGCCGCCAAATTCCATCGCCGCCCACCCCCGCGCAACCACCTAGCGCTGTACCACGCTTCGCCCCTTCCTCCTCCACCACAAGTCCGCCCAGCCCTTTGACTGCTACGTCCGCCTCCCCGCCAAACCCACCCCGCCCCCTCTATTCTCAACGATCACCTCGAGTGTGTCGAATTCGCCCCTCCCCAACACCCAGTTGCACATTGCAACTTGCAATCCAACGCGTTCTTTCCTTCACCGTGCACTGAACGCGTTCCATCTAGCGCGCTCCTTACAAACCAAATTCAACATCATCCATTCCCCCTCATGTATGAGCTAATGCTACCAGGTAGGCTCTACTGAATATTTTCCTTGACACGCAGCAAGTCCACCCCGTAGTTACCAGAATCGGTAGGTGCTATCATGGCCGACCCGCCCAGTAGTGCCGAAGGCGATGCGGTAGTTACTGTAGAAGATGCGATCCCTTCCAGTGCCACAGCCCCTCTCGCCGACGCGGCGGCTGCGCCCGATGGCGAGTTTCCCGCAATGGCGGAGTCGCCGCAAGCCGCGCACAACAGCTCCCCCAGGAGATGCGGGTGCACGCCGCCATGCGGGTCCGCGGACTGCGACCGCATGCTGTGTCTGCCGGGCGACCCGAAGCAGCAGCACTGGTGGCGGTGGGCGCTGGCCGGCATTCTGCTGCTCTTCGTCGTGGGCGTCGCCACGCTCGTCACGCTACTCTTCACCCTCAAGCCCTCCTCCTCGTCCCCCCCGCCCTCCCCCGCCTCCCCGGCCAGCACTGCCTCTGAACTCAACGCCTCCGCCGTTCCCATGCCCCTGCAGCCCAAGGACCCCATCATCTCGCTCAACCAATCCGCCGTCCCGCCCAACGATTCCTCTCTTGCGGCCCCCGCGCCCGCCCCTGCGGTCCCGCCGACGCCGGCTGACGACCCCATCCCCATGCCCGAGCTGTCGAATCTCACGCGCCCGTCGCAGGCGCGATTCGAGGGGAGGGAGGGGGAGTGGGGGCAGTTCAACTGGACGGAGCTGTACGAGCAGAAGCAGACGAACCGATACCACACGTGCGACACCGAAGGTAGGCCCAGCGCCGTGCGACACACAAGTAAAACAAGGAGTCGAGTGTAATCTGAGGAATGGTGTGATGAGCAAATCGGGTAAGAGCTTTAATCGCATGCAAATCCTGTCGCTCCTGCAGGATCTCTCCCGCCTCTCTAGTCACCGGCCGCTTGGCACGTGTGTTTACGAATCAATGGTTTATTGAAATTGAAAATATTCGTGGTTGCTTTACATGCGCGGCGTGGGTGTGTGGTGCGTGCGTGCAGGGTACGACTACGTGTACGTGCGACCCAACTTCACCGCCACCACGTGGAAGGGCTGGGGCACTTCGCTGGCATGGTGAGACACGGTGATGCATGGTGAAACGCAGCAATGCACGGTGACACACCGTGGTGAGACATGGCGCATGGTGGTGAGACATGGGGAATGTGCGGTAAGACCTGTGGATGCATGTGAGACATGGGAATGATGAATCTATCAACATGTCTCCCAACGAACCTCCTCCACCAACACACTCCCGTCTCTTGCATCCTCCTCGTTCATTCCCCTTCAACCCCCCACATCCACCCATCCCCCACTCCCCCTCTCCCCCGCGCCCTCCCCCGCTGCGCGCAGGTGGGCGGACGACGCGGGGGAGCTACCGGAGTGGTGCATGGGGCGGCTGGTGGACCTGGTGTTCCATGCGGACAAGGGGCTGGGGCTCTCCATGGCGCGCTACGCCATCCCGGGCGGCTTTAACGCCATGTTCTCGCCGGGCATCTCGCGCACCAAGCACCCCATGCACGCCTTCAAAGAGGGCCCCCTCGCGCCCTACAACTGGTCCGCGGACGCGGGGCAGCGCAAGGTGATGCTGGCGGCGAAGCAGCTGGGCGTGCAGCACTTTGAGGTCATCTCGTACTCGCCGCCCTGGTGGATGACGGTCAGCGGGGACACGGCGGGCGGTGTAGACGGGCGCCCCAACATACGGCCGGAGCAGCGGGGGGCGTTCGTGGAATACCTGGTGGACGTGATGCAGCAGTACCACTCCGACCCCGACTGGAACATCACGTTCGAATACATCAACCCCTTCAATGAGGCGCTCGAGGGCTGGTGGCGCGCGGGCCGGATGCGCGAGGGGTGCTCCGTGAGCGTGAACGACGTGGACGTGATCGTGGCGCTGCTGGCCGACGCGCTGCAGGCGCGCGGGCTGCCCACGCGCATCTCGGTGGCGGACTCGTGGGTGGCGTACACGGTGCGCAGCATCAAGTCGCCCACGGAGGCGCTCAGGCCCGAGACGTGGGAGAAGGTGGACCACATGTGCGTGCACGGGTACCAGTCGAAGCACTTCCCCGAGTCATGGCAGATCGGGCTGCAGTACAAAGACCTACGCGAGTCGGCAGCGCGCATTGGCAAGGAGGTGTGGCAGTCGGAGTGGGGCCCGATTGACATTTTTGGCACGGACCTGCAGCTGGCCATGTACATGGCGCGCACCGTCATGGAGCACATCAACATCATGGGGGTCGCCGCCTGGTACTACTGGATGGCCGTGGAACCAAACACCCATGGGTGGGGGCTCCTCCGGTTTAAGGGGGATTGCGGAGAGAGCGTGGACAGCATGAAGCTGGTATTCAGCAAGCAGTACTATGTCATGAAGCACCTCACTCGCACGGTGCCCCCAGGGTCACGCATCGTGCGCATGGTGACCAAGTGCGAGCACGGGGTGGTGGCGGCGTACAGCCCCCAGCACAAGCGTCTGACCATCCTCGTGACCAACCAGTCGTTCAAGGACTTCCTGCTCACCCTCCGCGTGCAGGACTTCCTCTCCGCAGACCACTCGATGCCTGTGCTTGTGCACGTGCACCGCACGTCAATTAAGGAGGACTATGAGATGATCGACCAGATGAACGTTCAAGTGCCGGGTAACGCCACCCTCTCCTCCACTGACATCACCATCAATGCTGTCCCCATTTCTCTCACCAGCATCACGCTGTATGAAGTTGTCCCAAAACCCGACATCGAGATTAAGCAATCAGTGTAGTTTTTTCCAACCCGTCTTTTATGATTGCATGTATATGACTTGGCTCATGCCCTGTGAGCTAGTTGATAGGCTTAGGTGTTTTGTTGATCATCACTATAGGTATGCTCTCGAATGGAAGCTGTAGTTCAATAAAGAGTCTATGAATATATGCGTAAATTTGATTCGTTTTGAAGTGTAAACGTCGGCAATCCTGATTACATGTGCACACACTACAACACGTGAATTTGAACACACATTGTCGATCTAGAGCCATTCTCTAGTAAAACTCCTCATAGAAAAATTTCAAACCTTCCCTAACCCAAAAGGATCATACCCAAATAGGGATACAGTATGGAGTATTACTGGAACAAAGCCTCACATCACACAAGACGCCAACAACGAATCGTGACCAGAATGTGGTTGTTTTCGCGGCAAGAATCCATGAGTGGAGCACGACTTCGACACGCGGCGATTTGCAATGGTTACCCGACCAGCATTGGGCCAATAGAAGCGCAGCGCTGAGAGGAAAGAGCACTGTCAGCTGTCGCGCTGACTAGGCAAGGAAGCAGGCCACCTTTGTGCGTGCGCCCGTCCAAGGCTTGCGCGTGTGGGAAAGAGTGCGCAATCGCAAACGCTGGGCTTCGCACGGGTGATCATGGCGGGGATGCGAACGGCTGGAGGGAAATCAGACGGTTTGGGGGGAAAGAGCGGCGGGATGGACACAGCTAGCGGGAAGACGACCAGCAACAGAGGCAAAATCCAGTTGGGGTGCAACGAATTGCGCGGGCAGCAGAAGCTGGTGTAACGATAACTTGCTCGAACCCGCACCATTTTGATGCACGCGACAGGGGTGCTGTTGACAATGACCATCAACCAACCCTTTCATGCGTTCTGTTTCCAGTTGCTTTAGTCGAATCCGCTACTTCTGATCGAGAGGTTGCAGCGCTCACCTACACAGGATCTAAGCACCGTCTCATCACAGTCGAAAAAACGTAATTCTGCAGCACAAGAAAGTTGTTGTGCTGCCGTCGCGATACCTCGAGCACTTGTCGATCGCCGTCCCGTGCTATTGTGGACGGCGGATTTTAAACGTTTAATTATATACACCACGGACAAATGGCAGCGTCAGCGTTGGGCGCTCAGCTGACACCACGGGGCACGATGAGCGCAATTTGCTCGCCATGTCATGGCGCCTCCCCTTCCCGCCCGCCAACACTCGCGGCTGCCGCATTCTCCGCCGCACCACACTGCGCGCTTCCCGCAGGACGCCCTTCGCTCCCGCGCTCTCTCTTCCTCCGCCCCCGACTCTCCGCGCCTCGCCAACCTTGCCTCCGCCCATCCCGCCCCATCCGCGCCCCTCCTCCCGCTGCTGCGCTCGACGGGCTGGGTTCGGTGTACGGGCAAGTCGCGGACGCGCTGCTGCGCGGGTGAGTGCCGCCCGCTGCCCGCTCTGCGCGAGCCGTCATCGCCTCATTAGCGCTTTATGCTGGTGGGGGAAGCTGATGAGCACGCTGCCATAATAGTCCCATAATTTCCCAGTGCTCGGCGGGTCGCGTGTCGCTTGGCGCGCAGCACGTGGAGGTCGTAGCCTCACTGGCATTGCGCTCGCCACCATCCCACCCCCCTCTGCGTTGCGCCCACATCCTCGTGCGTCGCAGGGTGCCGCTGGGCATGGACGTGACTATAGCGAGCGTGCATCACGAGGTGGCGCAGCTCGCGGCCTCCGCCGGCATTCCGCTGGACGACCCCGTGAGTGCCCTACCGCCCCCGCCCTCTCCTCCTTCCGTCCCTTTCATCCGCAATCCACGCGTCGTTGCGCCTGTTGCTAGCGCGCTGACGTGCTGCGGTGGTGCGCGTGGCAGGTGGCGCTGCGCGAGTGGATCGCGTCCGTGGCGCTGCTGCTGGCGTACGCGTCCGCGCCGCCCTCCGGTCCCATGGGCCTCCTCGACTTCCTCGTCGCGCCCCTCCACACAGTCACCTTCAGGTACAGTCACACCGTCATCTTCAGGTACAGTCACACCGTCACCTTCAGGTACAGTCACACCGTCACCTTCAGGTACAGAGAGGCGATCGCGCACTGAGCGGCGAGCGCGCCACAATCCACGCTGCACTGCCCTCTCCCCTCACTCCCCAAACGCCCCTCCGCATGGCGCGTCTCCCCCTGCCCCCCCTGGGCGGCGGCAGGCGGTTCTCCCCGTCCGAGGTGAAGGTGGGGCGGCAGCTGGGGCACGGCAACTTCGGCGTGGTCTACGAAGCCACCGCCGCCGGGCCGCGCGGGCAGCCGCAGCGCGTGGTGGTGAAGCGCAAGGCAGCGGGCGCGGGCGCGGATGAGATGCAAGACGTGGAGCTGTTCATGAACCACCGGCTGCAGGTGCGGTGATGAAGTCCCAGATAGCAACCATGCCTTCATGTGGCAGCGAATAAGTTGCAGCACCGCGCATAGATACTGCCCGCTGATGTGTTCATGTGAACGGTTATCTGGTTACTCAATCGCATTCGAGTGTCTGTGTTCGCGTGATTGCAAGCTTGTGCGTGCATGGGTGCATGGCTGGATGGGTGCATGGTTGCATGGGTGCATGGCTGGATGGGTGCATGGTTGGATGGGTGCATGCGTGCATGTGTGCATGGGTGCATGTGTGCATGTGTGCATGGGTGCGTGCATGCATGCATGCAGCGCACGGTGCCAGGAGTGGCGGCCAAGTTCCTGGGGACGATGGAGGTGCAGCCAGGGGGCAAGCTACAGGAGGTGAGTCGTCTCGTGCTCACCACCGCATGAAACCTATTCGCACTCGCTCCCGCACCTCTCGTGTCGCGTTGTGCATGTGTGGGCGCTTCTCTGCATGTGCCAAGAGTGGCCTCTTTACTGCCTCTTGCCCCTCTGCCCTTCTCCCTGCCCTGCGTGGTGTATGTGTGTGGCACGTGGCATGGGCGGGCGGGCAGGGAGTGTGGTTGGTGTGGCAGCACCAGGGCGACAGCACGTTGGACCGGCACCTCAAGGACCGCCAGTACCCCGCGCCGCTGGCCGCCATGCTGCTGGGCGTGCAGGGGGACGCGAGTGGGTGGTCGGAGGAGCAGCGCATGTGGGTGGAGTGGCAGGTGGCGCAGACCGTCATGCGCCAGATCCTCTCCAACCTCCGCGCCCTGCACCACGCAGGTCCGCCCCCCTTCCCCTCCGCGCCCTGCACCACGCAGGTCCGCCCCCCTTCCCCTCCGCGCCCTGCACCACGCAGGTCCGCCCCCCTTCCCCTCCGCGCCCTGCACCACGCAGGTCCGCCCCCCTTCCCCTCCGCGCCCTGCACCACGCAGGTCCGCCCCCCTTCCCCTCCGCGCCCTGCACCACGCAGGTCCGCCCCCCTTCCCCTCCGCGCCCTGCACCACGCAGGTCCGCCCCCCTTCCCCTCCGCGCCCTGCACCACGCAGGTCCGCCCCCCTTCCCCTCCGCGCCCTGCACCACGCAGGTCCGCCCCCCTTCCCCTCCGCGCCCTGCACCACGCAGGTCCGCCCCCCTTCCCCTCCGCGCCCTGCACCACGCAGGTCCGCCCCCCTTCCCCTCCGCGCCCTGCACCACGCAGGTCCGCCCCCCTTCCCCTCCGCGCCCTGCACCACGCAGGTCCGCCCCCCTTCCCCTCCGCGCCCTGCACCACGCAGGTCCGCCCCCCTTCCCCTCCGCGCCCTGCACCACGCAGGTCCGCCCCCCTTCCCCTCCGCGCCCTGCACCACGCAGGTCCGCCCCCCTTCCCCTCCGCGCCCTGCACCACGCAGGTCCGCCCCCCTTCCCCTCCGCGCCCTGCACCACGCAGGTCCGCCCCCCTTCCCCTCCGCGCCCTGCACCACGCAGGTCCGCCCCCCTTCCCCTCCGCGCCCTGCACCACGCAGGTCCGCCCCCCTTCCCCTCCGCGCCCTGCACCACGCAGGTCCGCCCCCCTTCCCCTCCGCGCCCTGCACCACGCAGGTCCGCCCCCCTTCCCCTCCGCGCCCTGCACCACGCAGGTCCGCCCCCCTTCCCCTCCGCGCCCTGCACCACGCAGGTCCGCCCCCCTCCACTCCTTGCACCACGCAGGTCCGCCCCCCTCCACTCCTTGCACCACGCAGGTCCGCCCCCCTCCACTCCTTGCACCACGCAGGTCCGCCCCCCTCCACTCCTTGCACCACGCAGGTCCGCCCCCCTCCACTCCTTGCACCACGCAGGTCCGCCCCCCTCCACTCCTTGCACCACGCAGGTCCGCCCCCCTCCACTCCTTGCACCACGCAGGTCCGCCCCCCTCCACTCCTTGCACCACGCAGGTCCGCCCCCCTCCACTCCTTGCACCACGCAGGTCCGCCCCCCTCCACTCCTTGCACCACGCAGGTCCGCCCCCCTCCACTCCTTGCACCACGCAGGTCCGCCCCCCTCCACTCCTTGCACCACGCAGGTCCGCCCCCCTCCACTCCTTGCACCACGCAGGTCCGCCCCATACCCCTTCCCTTCAATTTCCATGTGCTTTTGCTTGTCGCCGTGCTGCTCCGTCCACCTTCTCCATGCACACGCATGCAACCCATTCTCCGTGTGTTATGTGCCATGTGCCCCCTGTGCCATGTGCCCTGTGCCATGTGCCCCCTGTGCCATGTGCCCTGTGCCATGTGCCCTGTGCCATGTGCCCTGTGCCATGTGCCCTGTGCCATGTGCCCTGTGCCATGAATGGTGTGCGGCACGGGGGCCGTGCAGGGGTGGTGCACAGGGACGTGAAGCCGGCGAACCTGGTGGTGGACGAGGGCGAGCGCCACCTCTGCCTCATCGACCTCGGCGCCTGTGTCGACCTGCGCTCCGGCCGCAACTATGTACGTCCCTCCGTCCCTCTCTGTGTGCGCCGTGGCTATATTCGTCCCTGTGTTGTGTGTGCACCGGAGCTCTTCATCCCACCCACTCATGCACCACTGCCGCTCTCTTCACCCGTGCCGTCTGCATGCCGCCCTCTCCCCCCCTCCAGGTGCCCAGTGAGACGGTGATGGATCCCAAGTACGCCGCCCCCGAGCGCTTTGTCATGCCGCCCGCCACCACGCCGCAGCTGCCGCCCGACCCGCTGGCGTCGCTGCTGTCGCCGTTCCTCTGGGCGGCCAACTCCCCCGACCGCTTTGACGTCTTCTCCGCTGTACGCAACCTCACCTTCTCTTCCCACTGCCTCCAGTATGATCAACTCCCATCCCAATTACCCCTTGCAATGCCTAACTTGCTCCATTTCGTCCTTCCTTCCCCATGCGAGCAGGGCGTTGTGCTGATGCAGCTGTCCCTCAAGTCGCTGCGCCATGAAGCCAACCTGGTCAGTGCACCCGCCCACCCCTCCCACCCGCCCACCCTGCCCACCCGCCCACCCCTCCCACCCGCCCACCCCTCCCACCCGCCCATGCCTCCCACCCGCCCATGCCTCCCACCCGCCCATGCCTCCCACCCGCCCATGCCTCCCGCCATGTCATGATACCATGCCACACCATACCCTGTGATGCCGTGTTTTTTGAATCTCTGCGTGTCTGTGCTGTGTGCCTGTCGCATGCACTCACTGTGCTGTTATGTGCTGGCTGTTCGTGGGGTGGCATGCGTGGGGGGTTGGGATGGGGTCCACCAGGAGGGGTTCAACAACGAGTTGAAGCGCTGTGACTACGACCTGAGCAGGTGGAGGAAGAAGTTTCGACCCGCCAGCGCCGACATGGCCTTGCTTGATGCTCATGGTATGCTGCTGCCGCTTCACCCCTGTTTGTGCACAGCATGCCACTGGGCTGAGACGAATCTTCCGTGGGTTGTTTGCATCTGTTTCGATAACCGTCTCGACTGCCCATCCTCTCCTACTCTATCCCCCTCCCTGGACCTTCGGTCTCGCGCCCCCCTGCCCCCGCGTCTGCTTGTGCGTGTGTGTGTGCCGTGGCAGGCGGAGCAGCGTTTGACTTGGCACAGCAGCTGCTGCAGAAGCGACCCAACCACGACCATGCTGTGTGGCCCAGCGGTGCGTTGTGCCTCTGTTTGTGTCGAGAGCGGTGCAGGCAGTCTAGAATGAATGAACTTTTGCCACTGCTGAACACACAACGAATGCCCTTGTACCACACTAGAGTACACGTTCATTGCAACCCATGCATGTGCCACTCGCCCTCTAACTTCCCTCTCTCCCTTCCCTGCTTCCTCCCCCCTCCCTCCTTCCCCTCCCCCCTCGCCAGTGTTTGGCATGGGGCGCCCATCAGCAGGCCGCGCCCTGCGCCACCGCTTCTTCTCCCTGCACCCCCCTCAACCCTTCCGCCTCCCCCGCTCCCCCCCCTCCGCCACTCCCACATCCGCCCCTGCCACCGCTGCCCCTGCTGCTGCTGCGCCCGCCACTGCCCCCTCTGCTGCTGCCAGGCGCAGCATGGCGGCCCCCCCTTCTGCCCACGCTGCAGCCCTTGCTGCTGCTGGGCGCGCGGGCAAGGGCGAGAGGGCGGAGAGGGCGGAGAGGGGGGAGCATGGGGAGAAGGGGGAGAGGTTGCAGGTTGGGGAGGATGCACGGGGGAGACACAAGGACGTGGGGCGGAAGAAAGGCCTGGCTGCTGTGGAGGTGGCGGCAGGAGGTGCCAAGGCAGGCGAGAGGAGTGACGGCGTGAGAGGGCGAGGGGAGGCCGCCCGGGCAAGAGGGGATGTGCGAGGAGGGAAGGAGGCAGCGGCAGCGGGAGGAGGTGCGAAGGAGGGCAGTGAGGTGGGGAAGGGACTGCTGCTGCATGCGCTCAAGGCCGTGGTGCCGCCTTCCACCGCCTCCCAACCCCAGCCCTCCCTGCACGCCCCCAGTAGCGGCGGGGGCAAGGCAAGGAAGGCGGCACCAGGTGACAAGGCGGGGCACGTGGCAGGCAGGGGGGACGCGGAGGGCGCAGAGGGGGAGAGCAGCAGGGGCAGGGGAGCAGGCGTGAGGGGGAGGGGGGATTGCGGGAGGGCGAGGGGCGGGGCGGTGGATGTGGCGGGGGCGGTGAAGCGAGGGCACGTGGCCACGGCGTACGTGCTGGGGTCGCTGGTGGCGGGGCTCGCCCGCTCGCTGGACGATGACAAGAGCCGCGGCGGTGGTGAGGGGGGGGACGCAGGCATGAGGCGTGGTGTGGCAGGCAGCGAGGCGGAGGCGGGTGAGGGTAAGGAGGCCACGGGAAGAGGTGGGAAGGAGGAGAGAGATGGGGGAAAAAGGGAGGTAGAGGGCAGGAAGGATGCGACGGAGAAGGAAGCTGGACGTGAGGTGCGAGATGGTGGAGAGAGGTCAGGGGCTCGGGCAGGAGGTGATGGGGCGAGGGTGGAGATGGGCAAGGGGAAGGCGGTTGAGGGGGGGGACAGGGGGCGAGATGGGGGGAGTGAGGGGGGCGTGGGAGTGAGTGTGGCGGTGGGCATGGCGGAGGTGGGCGTGGCAGCAGCAGGTGCGACAGCAACGGCAGTGATGGCAATCGCCTCCTCCGTTTGGCGCGACATGGCTACCCCCTCGCCCGCCCCTCCCGCCCCCACTGCCCGCAGCAGCCCTGTGACAGCAGTGGTGGAGGCCAGTGCGGTGGGCAGTGGGAGGAGGGGGAAGGAGAGGAAGGAGCAGGAGAGGGTGTTGCAAGAGGCAGTGGAGGCGGCAGCGGAGGAGCGGGAACGGATTCTGAGGGGGGTTGGGGAGAGAGAGGGCGGCAGGCAGCACGAGGGGTCGCCTGTGGAGTTGCATGCAGTGGTAGGAGGTGGCGAGAGTGGGGCGTATGTGGGGGGGGTGGGAGTGGCGGCTCGGGAGGGGCGTATGAGGAGGCAGGTGGAGCGGCAGGTGATAGCAGAGGAGCTGCTGACGTCAGTGGGCGAGCTGGGGGTGCAGCTGGGGTCACTGGAGGAGTCGCTGCAGGCAGGCCGGCATGTGGCGGCAGAGCAGCAGCACCTGCTCACCCGGGTCAGTGCTGTTAGAGCCACTCTTGCCAAGCCCAGAAACTGATTACCAACCTGTCAGTGTCAGGGATGCTGTACAACTTGTGGCTTATCACAGCTTCGCTCGCCCTGTTTGTCTTCCCCTTTTGGCAACTTCTCTCAAGTGCAGATGGAGAAACTTCTTGTGACCCCAACAACCCATAAGCATGCGGTCTCTTTCACTGTGAACACCACTGGTGTGCCTTCAAGCAATAGCGGCATGGCATCGCTACAAGATGCGGGCCAATATGACAGGACTGAAAAGTAGGGCAGACTGGATATTTGCATGCACGAGCTGCCTCTTAGCAGTAGAACTACGGTAAGTGCTACTGAATCCTAGGATTTGAAACTTGACCACCTCTAATGACCCCTAAACTGGTTTTGGAGCATGTTG